TCTTGTGTTTTCTTCGTTAAATAAAAATAAGCCAAATATACAAAAGTGGTCAGAAAAGAGAAGACGTTGTTAGTTTTCTTCAAAAATTTAATTTTAAATTAAGAAAATTTTATTTTATTCATTTAAACTTTAGCAATAATTTAAAAAAAATCGTTATAATGCAAATTTTTATTTAAAACAGAATAGCTTCTAACTGGATCTGCTGTTTTTTTCCAAATTTTTCTTAATTTAAAGAACATTTCCCTAAATTTAAATATTTCAAACAGATCTGTTGGCGTGACTTGCTGAAAAGCAAGCTGGTTTTACTTAAGTGTGTACAAACGCGCTCTTTAGACAAGCCGAGACTTGCGCAACAAACTTAGCAGCCAGATTATTTTTACTCGGTCGAACGGTTTGTTTGAAAAGTTGTGGTCCGAAGTGAATTTCTGGTGGGTGTCGAAAGAAACACGCGAGCTCAGACGCTCTATTTTGAGTCCAGGTGCCGATTGATTTCCAATTTCGCGCGGGCGTTTTGATTTCGCGCAGGAAATGAATGTTTACCTACCCGTCGCCTAATTACTCACCTCGCTTCTTGAACGCAATCCAAATTCCAGCGAGCGCCTTTCGACGATCATCACGTCTTATGAATTATTACACAGACGTACTCTCGCCTTTTCAAGGGAACACGTTTCAATTTTGCCGAAGCAGAACCCAGGAGTGCAATTTTCGGCGCAGTCAACATTCGCAGAAATAGCAGCGCCCGTTTTAAATTTTTATTTCTGGACGTCGGGTTAAATTTAGCGTGAGCAGAAACGCACGATTTGCAAAATTTAACTGCATGGTTGAAAATGAATTTTATTTCCGGAGCAAATTTGCAAAGCTGAAAAAATTAAATTGCGCAGTTTTGGATCTTGATCGAAAAGGAGAGATGCTTGCCAGCACATTTGAGCTTATGAGTGGGGTGCTTTTAAAATAGATTTTCTCGGAATGGTTGTATTTCCGCTCAAGTGATTCATGTTATGGCCCAGGAACAAAGGCAAACGTGTCTGCTTTCGCGAGCTCCATAAATTAGCAAAGGTCAAAACGGCATGCAAAGAAATTAAAAATAAAAATAAATGTACGTATTAAATTATTCACAGATGTATTATGACACAAAAGGATTTTTAGTGAAGTACAAATTTTAATTTTTAAATACCTTAAAAGATAATTAAAATTTAGCTACATAATTTTGATTTAAATTAATTGATTTTAAAAGAATTCACGGCATATATAGAAATTCAATTTTTTTTTTAAAAAATTTTGTATTGATTAAATTCAATAAAAATTGAATTAAAAAATTACTTAAATAAAAATCCATAAAATATCAATGTGTTCCAGTAATTAAAAAAAAAAATGCGTTTTGTCCCAAATTTAAATTTTTATTTAAATAAAAAAATCGCTGGCAATTTCAATTAAAACCTAGAAATAATAAAGAGAAATGCCAGGAAATTAATGTAAGACAAGAATTTAATCAAGATTGAAGTCCACTTTGGCTCCCCCTGAGTGAAAACACCGACTTGGTGTACTTTACAATCGGAATCATCAACTATTTTAATTAGCACACGGGCTTATCGGTCTTTTTTCATCTGACCGCGGCCTCTGCACGCGTGATTGCACGCAATGGCAAAAGCCACGTGGGGGCCAAACGGAAACCAAGTGACTGATTTATTAGCACGGCTCGCGAACACAATTTACCAGAGCCAGGAGAGCGAGTTTATTTATTCACACTATTTTCGCGGCGAAATAGGCGCAATTAGTCTTAATTCTTCTCACTCGTTGAACCGAGGTGTTGAGAGAGGTGTTGTGTAATTGGATGATGGCGCTGATGAATTGAATCATTCCCAAGGCGAACCAGAATAAGTACGACGAGCGTGTTTAATTCTTTATTAAAAATCATATTCTCGAGCGACCGCATCGCGAGTCCCAATGGATTAATGTCTCGCGTGAAGGACTGGAAATTTGCTGCTTGATTCGTTCTGCTCACACCGTCTGGATGAACACAACATTTAAATTTACTGACAAGAAATTATATCATTTCACGGGATGGAATTATTAATCTCAATAATCTTACTCTCGGTTTTCTCGCTTGATGAAGGCTTTGGAAATAAAATGATTTAACGAACTTCAAGCAGGGCCTGATTTGTTCAAAGCAAAGGTGGCTTGTTAAATAAATATTTCCAAATATTTCTCTTTTGATCTTCAAAAGATATAAATACGTTAACAATTCCTACATTTTTCCTATTTTTATTGGAATTTTTCAAGTAATATTTATTTTGCTTTTTAATTATCTTAGGAATTCACCACCTGAATAGAAAATGAGACTGCAGAATTGCAATTTTTAATATTGCAATCATTCAAACCTTTTAACAATCTGTAGCAATCCATTATTGAATTTCTCTCTCAGATTTGCAGAAACCAATCTCTTCTCCACAATAAACGTCTTGATATTGCCATTTATAAAAAATAATTTCCTTGGGAAATGGAAGTGCTCTTTTTTGCGGGGTAATTACTTTTTCTTCTTTCCCTCCGCAGACTCGTCCTGATTATGAGCTTAGCAGATAATGGGCTTTTTCTCCTCCGACGGACGAAACTCGGGGCAGCATAAAGCTCGGGATCGGCATTATCAAAGGCGATAATTAGTTGTTGAGACCAACTGTAAGCCGCACCCCAAACAATTTCGGAAGCTAACCAAACAGTGGTGGCAATTTGGGTCTTTGAATGTTATCACTCCCGAAGCGGCCGCAAATAATGCCCCTTTGCTCTTTTTCGACCGATGAACGCACGTGCTCGGCTGTTCGGACGACATTTGCATCACTGGTGGCCGAGCCAGCGAGCGAGCGGACCAGATAATGATCTCTTTCAGCCTCCTGCACGTTTCAACTGCGCGAAATTGGAGTTTTGTTTGCTTGTTTGCGTTGCTGGTATACGAACGAACGAACAGAGGACGGGTTTCATTTCAGCAGCACTCGTGCTCTGCAGTTTTTGTCAAGCGAAAACGAACCGGTCAGAGAAACAAGGGTGACTTTTGGTGTGCAAAAATCTAACTTTTTTTCCGTAGAGTTTGGTGAATGACGAATGACTGTAGAATCTAAATAAGGGTTCACTTCTATAACGCAGGAGAATTGTGTCAATTTTTTATTGACAAAACTTTGCAATTATATTTTTTGTGGAACTTTAATTTTTTTTTAACCAAACTTCCCAAACTGCTTATTTTCTCAATTCGTGAAAAGAGTTAAAATTTTTTGTCTTATGATGTTGTTTTCATGTTTTCAAAATGCATTTATATAGTTTTAAAATTATCACTTCAGATAACATATTTAAATATTATTTAAATACCATTGCCAAGAAAGAGAAAAATCAGATTTGTTAGTGAAAATTAGTGCAAATTTTAGATGTTACATTGTTTCCACTCTCAAACTGTAATGCGTATAACAAACAGATCTTGCGGGATTTTGTAAAAATCAGGCCTTAATATTTTATTTATTTATCTGTAATTAAAAAGAAAATGAAAGATCTTGCTTCATGGGAATTTCTATCATATTCTTTTAGTCTTGATAGTTAGATTATAATTATGCATGTAAATTGCAAAAAACTATTCTGTTAAAAAAAATTGTAAAGAAATTAAAAATATTTACAATATGAAATACTGTTTAGAGTTTTTGCTCTCCAACAAATTAAATATCCGTCCAAACTAATGGATGGTAAAGTAATTATCAAATTCTATTTTTATCGAAATTAATCTCACATTTTTTTGGCAAAAAATGTAATATCTGTCAGTACAATTTTTGTCGCGCAGCAAACATATTTTTTGGGCAGCAAAAAAAACAGCTAGCTGTGCATTCAGCAGCTTTCAGGCGATTACATTTCATCAGCGAATTGCTGATGACAGCGTCGTTCCGCCAGGCAAAAAGTCACTCTCCGATCTTTTCATACGATTAATATTCGCTGAAAGCCGCGGCGTCGGATTTATTTGCACAACGCGCCATTTTACAATTTCATCTCCGACTCTGTAATTAAAGTACAACGCGAGGTCATACTGACAGAGTGAATTCCATTATACGTTTGTTTGCGCTCAAGCGGCATTCATTAGCGGCAGACAAGTTGATTGCGAGGATTAAATGAGTCCTTACGCCTATACTCGAATTAAAAGCCAGAGAGACTAGTTTGAGTGAGCGAGAGGGATTATTATTATGTTTCACCGCGTCACTCAAAACAAGCCACGAGCGCTGACTTTCGAGGAAAGTTTGCAGTTTAATCCTGCAGGTGGCAAATGGCACAAAATGAGAGATGATGCTAATCGTTTTAATTATAGAGAAAATTCTACTAATTTTAATTAGTTTATGTTTAATTTCACGGTTCCTCTGAATAAGGAGGTAACAATGGAACTAGTAAAGATTCCAAAGTAACAATAATTGATTAACTTTACAATTGAAAACTTCAATAACATTTATAAAATTTTTTCAGATTATTCTTTAATTTTGCAAAATTCATATTGAAATTTTATTTCTCTTGCTTTTCTTAGTTTCATTTTTTTAAGTATCAGTGAATTTTTTAAATATCATAAATCCTTCAAAGTCTACTGATATAAAATAAAAATGTATTGAATTTAAACTGCAAATGCACTCATTGTCATATAATTATCCGCCTAATTGGCACTAATAATGAGCTTTACAAATCGTGTTTTGAGACGCACTTCATCCTCCAAAATCATTATCGCCAATCCTTTCTCTATAGCGTCTCAATTGCGGCTCTGCTTCTCTCATTTGCGTAATGAAGAAGTTGCCTTAATGGCGTCGTCTCCCTTGAACCTCAACCCTGTCGTGCAGAGACTGGGTTATTCCATTAAAGGCGAGCCAAGAGAGGGTCAATTTGCAATTTGCGTTCTCCTCGCCAAGTCGCTTCTCCGCCTGAACAGATTCCTTATTATTTCGCGATCACGATTCCCTTTGTGCTGGAATAACGATCTCCGTTTTTGTTCGCAGATTGATGGAATCCGCCAAGTTGATTGGAGTCGAACTCAGCCGACGCAGTTAGCTATGACCTCGCAACAAATGTAAGTAAAAAGGCGAAAAAATAATTATTTTTATTTAATTTGACCCGGACAGGGATTAAAAACGGAGGCAGAAGATGGACCACAGCGTGAAGGCGATGCCGCCGGCGTCGTCGCGCCACCCCTTCAGGGCGCTGATCAGGTTCCTCAACAGGCACCGCTTCGAGAACGACGAACTCGAGGGACTCTACCAGCGATATGTGTTCAAACTGCAGCACTCGTCGGTCACGGCCGTGGTCGGACTGTTTGCAGTGCTCGCCATCGCACTCGCCGCCCTCGGATTCACCTACGCACACGGCGCCACCCTCCAGGTAATTTTTAAGAGAATTAAAATTAATTATTTATTCCACTAAAAAAATTGAGGGAAAAAAATCATTTGAAAACCATTCTTGTTCCAAATTTAAATGGTTAACGAAATATCTTGTTGACTGGAAACAAACAATGAAATTCAAATCAAATGAATCAACCCTCAATCGTGAATGGTCCCACAGAAGGTTTTACAATATTTACAAAATTGTATGAATACAAGTAAAATGAAATACTTTAAATCATTTTCTTTCAGTTATATTATATCCTTAATTTTTAAAATTCGAAGATTTATACATATTTAAAGAGTTTTATATTTTAATTTGTTTTATTTTAATTTATTTATCACATTTAATTTGATTTAAACCCTAAATAATGTTTTTAACTATAAGTTTTTTTATAATAACTATAAAATATCATTTAATTGTTATTTATGCATTTGGCTCAACATAATTCTTGTATTCAAAAATTATAAATTCATTTATTTAAATGCCTCAGGTGCGAGTTGATAGTTTAAAAATTGCTATGCTATACATTAGAATGTAATTCTACTCTTATTATATTGAAACTTAAAGAGGCTTTTTTTATGTTTCTAGTTTTACATTGAGTTTTTATATTTGTGACATACAAATAGATATCTATTGGGCCATTTCAGAAATAATGGTATCTAAATTTTAAAAAGCCAAATTTTGATTGGCATCTATTTTATTTTTGTAAGCTATTTTAGTAGTTTTATCGTACAGCTTCAGAAGAACCATGAAAAACTATGTAGTTTTTGTAAATTTTAAATTTTTGATTTTTTTTTTCAGTCCGTGTACCACGTTGCGCACGGTTTGCTGTTCTCGGCGTTGCTGTTGCTGCTGCACACGCGACTGATGCACGACTCGCACCTGCTGTGGGCCTGCTACGTCATCCTCTTCCTGTGCACCACTTTCTGCGGGGTGGCGTTGCCCCTGGGGCCGCCGGCCACCATGGCCGTCGCGGGCACTACCGACTACGCGTTGCAGTTTGAAACGAGGCGTGTGGCCGCTGAAGGCGTTTGGCAGGTGAGTGCCGACTTGAGAGACTCTCGGGGGAGCCGAAACCTCCTCCAGGCCTCCAAATCTCATCTCTATGCATATTACGGCGTGCAATTTCGCAACCAAGCCACCCTCGCCTCACGCCGCGCGCAGGTGTGCTGCAATAAAAATAATTGCTGCTCGTGGCTCACGCGCGCGCTCCCCCGAAAAAGTCATTTGCGAAATTTCATTTTCTTGTTTTTTGATGACGGGGTGGGTTTTATCCGCACCTGCACGCCCTTTAATTCCAACTTTTCAAAAATGAAATTTTGCTGTTGAAACTTCGCTCATTTTGCCGACTTTTATCATGCTTTTGTCGACTGTTATTGCGGTACCGTTCAAATCATTTAAAGATTAGACCCGAAGAATCGTGATAAGTCAGATTAACAATCTGTAGTTTTCTCTTTGATTAGCTTAAAGTCTTAGTAATAAGAGTTCAAAAAATTGAAAACATCAATAGAAAAAAAGTATCAAATATTTTTGAGTGAAAATAAAATAACATTTTTTTTAATTAATGATAATTTTTTTACTAATTCCTGTTAAAATTTTAATATTTTAGATTTTATGGAGAAATGTTTTATGGAAATCTAAAATTCTTTATTGCATAATTTCATTTTTACCATTATTGGACATAATTTATTTAGTGCAAATTTCAGGGAGATTTTATTTTGTAAGAATAAAGAGACTGTTAATTTAATATTTTATCTATTATTTTATTTTCTTTAGAGGACTTGCTTGGTTTAAAAGAGCCTTGCTTAAAAACGACTTTAAATGTAGCAGAATTTGAGCGTAAAAGTCACCTTTTATGCTACTTTTTATACCAGTCTATTCGCATGTTCCTGTGATAAAAGGTAAGTCACCTTTATACAGACCCCTTGGCAACCCCGTTGACATTTTGAATGGCATTTTCCATTGAATTTGTTCAATTACATTTCCACTGAATGTCACGTAGAGTTACTTGCCTTTGAAAAGCATTCCCGGCGCGTTTTCATGACAGCATCAAATGTCCTCTCTTGACTATGTCAAAATATGCATAGAGATGCATAGAGCTTGTCTGATCTATTCCCGTCAATTACGATTTTAATTTGTTTCACGCAGCTAACGTCCAGCCTGAATGAATTTATTAATTTTTCAGGTCGTGTTTGTGACGTTCGTCGCCTATGCCATGCTACCGCTGCGGACGTATGTGGCTGCCGTGTTCAGCTTCCTGCTCGCTGCCACCCACATCACCTTGACTGTCATCTTCGCCAAAGACTTCCCGTGGCTAATCTGGCAGCAGGTAGGAAACATCTCTAATTATTTTCAATTTATATTAGTATAAGCTTAAATCGGCCCAAAATTTTTAAGCCAGCATATTTCCATGGAAACTAGTTTGGGACAATTAGAGTAATTTGAAATGTAATTTAGTCTCAAATTGTCGTATGAAAATTTTTACATTATCTAAATTAACAAAAAGTCAAACCAAACTTTTTTGCTTTGTTACAAAATGAAATATGAGAAATATAAAATGCGTTAGATTTATTAAAAATTATCTGCATTATCCTAAATTTATTTTACAAGAAAATTGATTGCATTCTTGCATTTCATAGAGGGCCTCAAAAAATCTGAACAATTTACGATATATTGAAAATACTTATTTTTCTCGTCTTCAGGTAAATTTTTTTAACTGCAGACAGGCCTCCAGATTCTAATTACTTGACCCCGTTTTGGTCTTGCGTCTTTGCAGCTGGATAGACTTTTCTTTGTCTCGCTCCTTCAAAATGCAAAGTGCCCCAGACAATTGCCGCATATGTGCAGCTTCTGTTTCATCTTCGCATTTAGAATTCACAGCTTCGCTGCAGCCGCCGTCGCGCTTCATCTGTGCAATACAAAGATGATGTTTGTTTTGCAGCCAAGTGCAATAATTATGAATCTTTGTTTGCTGATGTTTGCTCTCGGTCATTTGAAAGGCGCTTTAAAAGAAGCTTGACCTCTTGTCTTACATACCGATAAGGTTTCCTGACTGCTGTGTAGGCCCTTAAGAAGGACTATCAATATTTAAATGTCTCATCAAGAGGTATCTGTAAAATTTCTACCAAAACGTTTTTCGCAAATGCAGCATAAATCTTAAAGTCAAGCTATCATTTAAATTATTTTTTGTCAACTGGAGTGAAATACAAAATTGAGTGGAAATAATGTTAATTAAATTTGAAAGAGAAAATTAATTTTGGGAAATTCCAGTACATCACAATCTCAACTATAGTTTATTTAATCTGGTTTAAGATAAATTATTCTCTTCTTTTTTCAAGAAAAGTCACTTGTGGAACCAAAACAAATACTTTTTTAAATCAAATAATTCAATTTTCTATAAGCGTCAATTTCCTGATTGTTTTGTAGTCCTTGAAGGCACCCTTTTCAATTTTTTTATTTCTTTTCCGCTTTTCCCCAACGGTCAACTTTGGCTGTCTATTCTCGGAACTTGACATGCTCTCGTTGTCCTTATTGCCCCCGTTTCTGCGAGTCGGTTCATTACGCTGCCCGTATGTGTCGTCTGGGCGTCCGACTCGTCAGGAAATATACTGGCCAAAGGTAAATAACGGTGTCCCGGCTCCGTAAATAGCGCGATCGCTCTCTTTTATCCAAACAATAAATTGCCTCCGTTCGTTCTCCTCATATTGGCCCTCCTCTTTTTCTCTCTGTTTATTTATTTTCCCGGCGCCCCGAAATTGTGTTTGTGCATGTGTGGGCCCGAAAGAGATCTCAATCAGAATTCCAGTCGACAGAATAATGCATGGCGCCCGAAAATATACTCGTGGCCGGTAATTCGAGCGGCGCGCACGCCACCTCCGTAACAAGCGAAATTATTCGGGCTTATCGAGCAATTGGGCCGGAATTTATTACGCCGTGTCTAAAAATTTCGTTCTCCCATGCACCGGACGTAAAACTTTTTCGCTCGCTGAAACAGAAATTTATTTCTCTCGTGCCTCATTTCTTATTTCATCTTTTCTTTTCGCGCCGAAACCATTAAGGCTAAAATGCGCGAATAACCTGCAGGCGTCTGAATGCTTTCAGCAGAAAAGTTTATTTTGTTTTGCAAAATTGATCCTTGTCCTGCCGTTATTTTAAACGCAAAAAGGTTCCATATCTCTGGAACGCCAAAAAGCAAACATACATCCAATGCAAAAATAATGACGGAGACAAACACAAACTTTTCCCGTCTCCTGAAAGTTTGTAAAGAATCACCTTTTGCAACTTTTTCGTTTCCTGTGCCTTTCCATATTATTTTTTGTCTTTCGAAACTCGCGAACAGAAATTTCCGTTTCCCCTTTCGCATTTTTTGTTTCTGCTTGCCGAAATATTTTAACAAGGTTTTCGTTCGCTTGTCTTCGAAAAATTAGAAGGGAAAATATTCAGCCGAGTGCTTTTGAAAATAAGCAGCGCGTCTCGGGCGAGCGTTGAGGGAGGCAAATGAAAACAAACCGAGTTCATTTCGCTGTTTGCCTAGCATGCGTGCTGAATTAAACAAACGGCTGAGGGCGAGGTGCACAAAAGGACCATTTTCATCAAGTCACATCACACGAACTTAATTCAACTCCGTCGGTCTTTGTGCCCCCTTCCTTTTGAACCAGAGGGGAAAGAAAATAAAATGCACGCGCTAATCTTTCCGAAAAGAAATTTTTTACATCTTGTTCTTCTAAAAGTTTTGCAAACTTTGTATCATTTATCCCGTGAGAGGTCCAATAAAACCCATGCTAATCACTCGCCCCATTAAAATGCAAAACAACTCTTCCGCGAACTTGCTCGGGGTCGTTAGATTTCATTCGACCGGTGATAGAAGATTTAAATCCCTTCGTGCCAAGCAGGAAAATCTCCAAAACAAAAAGCGCGGTCGGTCCTCTCTGGCGGCTTCAACTGCTGCCAACACCAGTGTTTTGAGCCGCGATTTTATTCGGCGCATTGCGGATGGAAATTCTACTCGCAGAGCTCTTTGTCTGCTTCCGCCGGCAAATTACCGCGCATCCTTATCTATTTATTGCCAATAATTCACGCCGCTTTTTCTCCGAGCCATTACGGCTGCCAGAATGGCCCTGCACTTCAACTTTTCATTTCTTATACAATAAAGCGAATCCTACTTTTTTATTTCAAGAAAGCCATTTCGCCGGAAAAGAATGGGACGATCGCACGAAAATGCTTTAGGAGAGAGAGAAATTGAGCAAGTATACGCATTTGCCGCTCTTTTCAATTTTTGGCAAACCAAATTAGATCAGATTGATTTAGCTTTAATAAGCATTTTTTTATTTTTTTTATAGACAATCCAATTATTAAATCCATTATTATTAACAGAAAAATTCCTATTGAAATTTGTATAATTAATTCTTATTGCTTGGAATTGTCAAATTAAATTGTTTCAACGCAACAATAATGGTTAATTTTGTATTTTTTATTAATAATCGCAAAAAATAAGCTTTAATTTTAGAAAAGACCATTTGAATAATCCCGTAAGACGTCTTTCAGCAAAGTTCATTTAACATTTTGAATCAATTTTATTGACAATTTTAACCAGATCGTTATTCTTAATTCTGTTTATAAAAATTTGCGAGTGCGAAATAATAATTATTCATAGCACACTTAAACAAGTTTTATTTTAAATTTCTATGAAGCTCATAAATATTCATTCCAGTACGGAGAAGAGACTGGGTGAAGCTCGGTGCTGTAATCAATATTCGATTCACCTCAAGGTTGCCGCTGATTTCCTTTACCTCACGGCGAAGACTTTCCATTAGGCAGCAGCATCGGTGGCTTGATTTAATTATCCAAATTGGACCTTCTGCCGCGGCTGAAGTTGCGAACGTTAATTACTCCGAGTGGAGGAAGGAACTGAAATCGGCAACTCTTGCGCACCACAAAAGAAAAAGTTCTAAGTTGGTACCTCGATCTTCTCTAAATTGGATTGTCTTACGTCCGCAATTATTATAAGATTCCAGGTGAAATGCAATAAATTTATTGCAGCACTTCAAAAACACGCAATAATGACGCAGTTGCCTGTAAAATATTACACTACTAAATATTAATAAAAATAAAGAAAATCGACAATTTTACACAATTTTCTTATTCTGGATTAAATTTTAAATGAATTCAAAATTCAAATGAGATTTTTGAAGTTTTACCTAAAATTTTTAATTAATAATTTTTTTATTTATTTTTTTATAACTATCTTGAAAGTTAAAAAAAAATGCTTTATCCTTTAATTAGCATTTTACGTCAACGCAGGCAAAATAATAAAGCATGTTCCTTTTTTACCCCTCGCAAGAATGCCACGCGATTGGCATCCTTGGCGTTTGCTGGCGTAAATTACTTGTCGCCGACAAAGATTGATCGGGTGGCTGTGGTGCTCCCCTGGCTATGGTCCTCACTCCTTCTCGACGCCGTCCAAGGACACACACGCAGGATCAGAAAGATGTCATCTTGAAAAGTGCATCACATTGCCGTTGTTGACCCAATTTACCGGCTCGATTATCTTCGACTCACTGGATCGGCACTGATTCCTTTAGTGAAAAAATACGCGAACCCAGTGGGTCGCTCGAACCTTCTTTTCAAAGCTGCCGGTCTGGAAACTCCCTTTCGGAGCGGATTATGATTGTTTTGCCGGCAAGAGGACTAAACGGAGCTCACCTGAGCGCCTACAAATGGGATAATTTTAATTCCACGTGCAAAGTTGTTTTGTTAATCTGCCATTTTTCCACTTTTCATTAAAATTATCATCATTTACAATGGCTTAAATTTGCATTTAAAACGGGCAATTTAAATTCAAACGTTGAAAAAACACGTTAATTTTTTTTCCTACTCAAGTGTTTAATTTCTGAAACTTAATTGGTTTTCATTGCATGAATTACTTAACTACTTGGAAAAACTTTTTCACAATAGCAAATCTGTTTGCAAAATGACAAAAGGAATCGATATTATTTGCCAAACACGGCTCCAATTCGAGGCAATAATAACATGAGGAACAACGAAAACGATGTTTACAGAGAGGCCTAGGGCCAATTTCGGTTCCCTCTGACAATGTCGGGCAAACACACGCGCTTTGCTTTGAAATTCAGCACGGGCTCGGCAATCAGCGGACGAGTAAACAGGCCCGGCTGCTATGCGTGCCATTATGAGGCTATTTTTGCATTTCCAGTCGGACAAATTGGCTGCCACACTCAGCTTTACGACGCATAGATCCATTCTGGCGCTGGCAATTTCTTTGAGATGCGCCGCTCGTCTGTGTCGCGAACGCTTTTTTTAACATGACACAGACGAAGGGAACGAAAAATAAAAGAAATCTCAGCGGGATAAATGATAGGGCGCTCGGGGTGGAGTGTTGATGTAGTCGTAAAATTGATTCTTTTTACGACTGCAAAATGATTTCCACTCAGAGAGCGAGCATTATTTTTCTGTTTTAACAACTTTTCAATCTAATAAATTTTTATGTTTTAAAAATACTTAGCTTTTTTACGATATATACAGATGTTTCAGCGAGAATAATGTACAATTATGTAAGAATGGAATAGTTTTGCATTAAATTACATGTAATCATCAAAGATTTTAAAGTTTTGAGGTGAAATTCATTAAATTTTTACAGAGATTACGCAATCAAAATTATTTACAATAAATTATAAATTCAATATCATTATCAGACTTATCAGTGAATGATAATAACAAATTTATATTCAAATGTTAATCTTCATCTGCTCCTGATGGATTAAATATATTTTCTGTGCGTAGATTTAATTTAAATTTAATTCTCTTCTAAATAATGCTACATTTATTTAATATTCATGCTTTCTATTTAATTAAACCAAAAAAATTGTCAAAAATTTTGAACAATTTTATCAAACTTTCCCCACGAAATATCTAATTTATTGGTATTTTGGTTGATTTTTTATAGAAGTTGAGAATATTGATTATTTTTAAATAACCGAACTATTTTTTGTGTGGTTTCAGCTTACAGCAAATGCGATGGTCTTCCTGTGCGTCAACACTGTCGGCATTTTCGTGCACAACTTGATGGAGCACGCCCAGCGCAAGGTTTTCCTCGACACCCGAAATTGCATCGCGGCGCGACTCGAGATGGAGGACGAAAACGAAAAGCTGGTGAGTTTTGTTTGCTTAGCGAATTCATTGTTCTCATTGTTCTCGTTCGCACTTTGGCGTGCCGCCGGCCAAGTGCGCCACTTTGCACTTAATTAAACGCGAAAAGGGTCTTCTGCATTATTAAAACAATTTTTTTCCTTTTTTTTTTCATTCGCGTGCTCGAAAAGCAACAGTATGTTATTTTTATTTCGCCACAATTTTTATCCGCGGCGAATTCAGCGAGCAAGAAAGAAAAAGTTTACAGCGAATTTGCTGCGTTGCTCAACGGGAACGGCTCTTTTGTTGGGCAATATTTTTACAGCTGGCCGCGGTTCACAATAAAAAAAGCGCCCAAGATGTACAAAGAACAACAAACGACGGCCATTAGTCGGTCGCTTTTGTCTCGTTGGGCAATTCGGTCAACTTTTCGTCCTCCGAAATAAATTAATAAATTGTTTATGTATTTTGGTGAATTCAGTCACGTGCGCCTGCCTTTTGGTGCAAATTAGAATTCAGTCTTGCCGGCGCGCTCGTGCATTAGCTAATTAACTTTGCCAGCTGGGAAAGGATTAAATCTTGCAGTCCGCAGCGAGACAAACGGATTCAACGAGCCCTGCCTGCCTCTTGATGGAAATAATATTGTTCCTTCTCAAATCTCAAGAGAGCGAGAGGCAAATTTGATTTTCAGCTGCAGGAATTATGGTCCTCAAGCGCTGAATGTGAAATATCTGAAAACAGGGGTTCCTGAAATTGAGTCTTAAATCTGTCGATTCTCCTTTGACGTGGGAGGGAGGAAACATCGTAAACTCCGGTTTCCCACTTATTTGAAATGAAGCCGCCTCATCGATTTTTTTCTTTGGAGAAAATTCCCAAAAAAAATATTACAGAAGTCTCTTTTAGTTTTTTTGAGCTTCTGAAATATGATAATTAAGACTTTGGAAGATATTTTTTTTACAGGATTTCTTAAAAAATAGTTTTTATTGAAGAATATTCATGAAATGAAATGAAAAACAGGCACTTTTCACCAAGTAAATGGTTCGTTTTGATCTGTTTTTCCATTTCTACATTAAAATAAACTTAATTTGAAATACATTAATTACTTGTAAATTTACATAAGATATTTTTTTTCTATATAAAATTAGATTTTATTTATTAAATCACAGTGATTTGGTTTTCAGAGTTAAATGTAATAATTAATAATATTTATCAAACCTTGAACAGAAATCCTAAACTTTTTCTATTTCTCTTGAAAAACAAAAATTTACCATTGAATAATTAATTAAATCCAAACATTAATCATAGCGTGGACACGCAATTTGCTTTTATTATATAATTCTTTTAAAAACGTTCCGCCTCATAACATTTTAAATTTTTTTTTATTTATAACAAATAAATCAAAATAGAGATTATCATTTAACTCATCTTACTTTTAAGTTCTCGTGTGAATTTTAGCTCAGCAAAAGTCATTAGGGGTTGGAAAAGCTGCCTCATTTTAAAACTACGCAGTATATTCTGGCATGTTCCAGGAGCACCAATTTACGATAATTATTGTGGCGGAATTTTCCGCCTCGGCTTTTTCTCTGATCGATTATTGAAAAATGAGAGCGCCAAGACCAGTAGTATCGGCGTCGCAAATCCTCCAGCACGTTTCCTCGTACGGACTCCAACATCCAGAATGAAGCGGGCGAAGTGCACAAAGCAGATATCTGCGCTCAACAAAGGCGCCTTTGACACAATCTATTTCTGCCGCGCGGCAATGTGGTCCCCAACTTTTATCCTTTTTGTTTGCAGACGCATAATATTCTGTAATAAAAGAACCCGCACTTTTTTATGTGAAAGGGCGTTCGAGTTGAATTAATAAATATACAGCCAGAGAGCAAAGGCTTCTTTTTTTGTTCGGCACCGGGGAATAAAAAATATCCCGGCATTTGGTTAAGACGAAAATTGGCAATCTCTTTTCGGAAATTTGGCGAGTCACGCCGCCGAAGAAATGCGCCGGGGGAGCGGCGGCGGCGGCACTTGAGCATTGGTGTCAAGCGAGTCGCCTACCTACTAAGGGGCCTCCCAAACAAGCCATATTTCTTGTTCCCAAACGTGCGACCAACACAAGAGTGGCGGCGGCGGCGCTTTTCTTGCCGCACCAACCACGCCAAATTTTATCTCTAGGCCGGCGCCTGCCAAATTTTGGGTCGTTTTGCACTAAAAGATTGCGGTTCTGCATGAAATATGAGGATGAAACTTCAAAACTCAGCTCGAGTTTGGATTACTTTTCTACAAATAACAATGATGGTGGATTTTTTCCTTTTTAATAATAATTTATTTTGAAGTATAAATTTTTCAATGGAAGAAATCAGAAAATTAAATCTCAGTTTTATATTAATGAATGCATTGTAGCAATATAAATAGAAAACTTATTGTTAAAATTAAAAATATTTGTTTATTCCACTCATATTTTACATTGTTGAAGAAATTTCCAGAATTATTAAAATTAATGTTTTTTTTTTATAAAGTTGCGACCAGATTTCTTTACCATTTTAAAAATAAATTCTCTGCTTTTTATTTATTTTGTATATTGCACAATTATTTTAATTGAATTCAAAATTTTCAAATTGAGACTGAAATGAAATTTTTTTTTTGTGTCGCACATTCCTGGAAAAACCAATAAAAGTGTAACAGGTAAAATTCTGTCCTCCTAATTTCCACCAAATCTTTCCGCGTGTAATTCCGGAAAATCCTCTTTGCGAAATCACATTTTTTTGTCTGCACCCACCAGCAATACGCCCACGGTGTACGTTTGCCTTTTCGCACGTGGCGCACTCGATTATCACGTCTTCTCATTGGCGAAACGTGTGTTGCAGGAACGGCTGCTCCTATCCGTGCTTCCACAACACGTTGCCATGGAAATGAAAGAGGACATAATCTCGCCGGTCGAGGGACAGTTCCACAAAATCTACATCCAGAAGCACGAAAACGTCAGGTGAGTACCAGCCGAGAATTCATTCCAGATTTTTTTCCCCGAGAGGGATGAAGTTTCTCTTTCTTTTTATCACGATTTAATTGAGAAATCCACCGCACCACTTGTCTTTCTCCGTTTACAATTAAAAGCACGCTTCTCAGAGATTTGAATCCATTCAACTCTACTTAAAGTAGATCTATTTTAATTGCAATTAGTGCGACGGTCTAATGAGTCTCGCTCTAACCACTGGGATTGAAATGCGAAGCTTGCGAGATTTTTTCCCCGTGTTGATGCGCGGTTGCTATTGTTCTTTTCCACTCGAGTGTGTGCGACTCGGAAGATACTTGGTCGCGCTGCGCACTTGCAATACATTGACGAGCACCGAGCTCATCATTAAAAGCCCCTTGCACGCCCACAGATTCTTTTTCAACGATTAATGCGACATTCGTCAATGAGGAAATCGCGGCTGTTTTGTCTTCTGGTGAGAAAAATATTCCCAGAGGTTAAAAGATTTAGAGACACTTGTAAATATTAAAATTAATTTTTTTGAAGCTTCAAATTTTATATTTTTTATTTTCTTAATTCTTATAATTTTAATTGTTAATATTTTAGATATTAAACATATTAATTTGCTCTTATATGTTTTTTTTTTTTGGTACTTTTCATGCTAAAAATTGCGTAAGACAAATATTATTTTACGGTATTTTAATAAATGGTTTTATATAATATATTATCATATATCGCACACCCTGAAATAAATGATATATTGATTAAAATCGAATTTCACCCAAAGTATGGACTGGTCAGTAATTTTTACTAATTGAAATAATCTTAATAGAAGTTAATGATACATATTATTGAACTCTTAAATGTATTTCGCTTTTCTTTTATATTGCGTATTAAAATTTAAATAATATATATTTTTAGCATTTTGCTTTCGTTTTTTAACTAATTTTAATATTATAGGTAATTTGCAATATGATCGGGTTTTCGTAAACTTTTTTACAAAAAAATCGTCTTTAATTCACATTAATTCAGTATAGTTTCAAATCATATAAATATATCACCGGACATTCTCTGCCCACATACATCATATAGTCATTTTTTTCTTCGCAAATCCAGTTTTAATTTGTTTGGTTTAAATTTACTAATTATTTGTTCCTTGTTGTGGGTATTAGTTATGAATGATTGATTAATGACTGTTAGTTAATCCCGTGATGACCTAGATCTTCAAAATAAAAAATATAAACTATGCGGGGAGAGGGCTTTTTAATCGATTTATAATTTTAATACTAGAAGATAACATTAAGTTTGCATGCGTAGCGACTAGATCTAAATCATTGTAATTAACCTCATTCACACTCCACAAGTGCCGCAGCTAAAGTAAGTTTTTCGTGCAGCCCCGACTTTAAAAGTCGCTGCTCCTTTTTATTTATTTATTTATTTTCACCACGGCGCCGCGTCCTGCTCTCTCACACACACGCATTCCTGTAAACAAGACAGCGCTGAAAAAGTTTTGTTGAATGCGCACCGAAATAAACAAAGGGAGACGTCGAAGTATAAAACAGGCGAGTGGCGTGATTTTCATGCCCCAGGTCAAAAGTCACGCGATTTTCATACGGCTTAGGAATTCCCCAAAAATGAGAATTTTCTTTCCTCCGCCGAATAACGACCGATAAATCTCGCGAGGGGAAGAACACGGGAGACACAGGGAGTTTTCTTTATTATTTCGCCCACGCCCCTTATTTGTTTTCCGCTTTTGACGTGAATGTACATGTTTTTATGCGCAGACTTTGCCCTTTTACTGCCTCGGAAAGGAAATTGCGACTTTTTTGGCCTATTCGGAGGAGAAAAACGACCCCGCAGTATAAAAGCGGAAAATTAAAAACGGGCCTAACTTTCTTGCCAAATGGCCTCTGACATGCAGTTTCGCCTGCGTCTCGGATCGCATTTAATAAAACAAATCCGGCTGAAGCTGCAAATTAAATTAAAAGCCGGAGCCTGAAATATTTATCCTCCCAAAAAAAATGCGTTCGCGTTTTCCCGACTGACATGCTCGTCGACGGCAAACAAACTTCCCAAGAGAAATCAGCCGCCGCCCCAAAAAAGTATCGCGCTTGACAGCGTGTTTTTTTTTCGTATTTTATCATTTCAAAATTTCGACACCGCAGCCCGTAATTAAGGCGGTGACCGGGCGTTTTTTGCAGCGGCGCTTCCGCCCCTAAACAGCATTATTCCGGCTCGCGCGATCGATAAGCGAATACACAACTTTCCCCCCCGGCAAGAGAGCAACACATTACCCGAGCACACAGAGTAGGTACTGCATGCATTATTCCAGCAAGTTCACACACGCTGGCCGACTCGCCCCCAATTCGGAGCTTGCGGTTTGATTAGCAGAGCTAATTGCATTGCACCACACTCGGAAGTGGATTTTGTGATTCACATTTGAAATTAATTGGATTGTTGCATTTTAGGACAACGGGGGATGCTTTTCAAGTTTCCTAAATTACAATTATTAACTTGCACGCTAAATTGATTCCAGGTGAATTGACCCGTTTCATAAAATTTCATAATTTCAATTGTAAAATTATACGTATGTATATTTATAATTAAGGAGAATTTCAATCAACCAAAAAAATGTTGCTGCCAACGTTTTACCATCCTATAGTTAAACAAAAATCAGAGGATTTAATTTATTTGTATAATTTCTGTGATTTTCCAATACTTAATTCATAGAGAATGTTTAAAATGAATCTTTGAAATCTAAAATCCAAAAAAAATTTTACTAAAATCATTATAATTAAATATTAAATTTAATATTTTATGTTTGTAAATCTTAAATATCAAATTTAATATTTAAATTTGATAATCACCTTATTATAAAATCAATTTAAAAGCAAAACAAACTATAAAAATCAGAGTAAAAGCTACTAAATTTTGACAAAAAAACATAAAAACATACTTCAAAGTTAGTTGCTTATTTAGCTTGAGAGAACCGATGAAAATTTTCAACACCCTCAAATAAATTATAGTAAACTCAATGAATAGGAAAAATTATTGAAAATCTTTTCATCTGCACCAGATTTTTTACCATAAAATTTTTTTTCACCGTTATTAATTTTATCTGTTTTATTTATGTCCTTGGAATTTGGTTTGTGTCAAAATTGTCAGTTTTCCCCCGCCAGTTGCCGAGGGAAAGTCTCTCTCTCGCGTCGTTAGTCGTTTCCATGCAACGTTCACAAAGTAAGAACCCTTTTCCCAAACTCGCTGACGGAGACAAGTAGCGAGTGTGCTGAGAAGCGTGTTAGAAAAATCCTCCTGCCGCGCGTCAGCTTTCAAGTGGTGCAAATTTTCCGTGCAAGGAATCTCTCTTCCGTGCTCTTCTGTATGCGGAGATTAATTTTCGGTCCGTTGCAGCATCTTGTTCGCCGACATCGTGGGCTTCACGGTCCTGGCGTCGCAGTGCACGGCTCAGGAATTGGTGCGTTTGCTCAACGAGCTCTTCGGCAGATTCGACCAGCTTGCCAGCGTGAGTACCCACTTGGAATTAGTTCAAATTGCAAAATTACTCACCAGAAAAATTACAACCACTCCAAATTCATTCGCCAGTTTTCTGCTTCAAGAATTTAGTTTCATTCAATATCCAAAGGTTTTTGCTTCAAAATTAATTAAAAATCATAATTTTGATAATTTACTGAGTTAAAAAATTGACCTTTTCCTTAATTTTTAAAATTATTAGATTACTTTTTTAGTAGACAATTTTCCTATACATATTTTTTTTCTTTTTAATATTTTCCTTCCACCGAGCCGAGATTATGTCTAGATTAAACATTCTCTTTGTCTGTTGGAATTTTCCACAGGATAATCACTGCCTGCGGATTAAAATCCTGGGCGACTGTTACTACTGCGTCTCCGGATTGCCAGAGCCTCGTTCCGACCACGCCCACTGTTGCGTCGAGATGGGACTGGATATGATTGACGCTATTGCGTAAGTCGGAATTTATTTTCTCATCCCCTCCGTGCACATTGTGTGCAGAAAAGTGTCGCCTCGGAGGCAAGGTGATCATCTCGCGAGCATTGCCCTCATGTTGGCACAAATAGCTCTGCGCAAAACAGTTTTTTCTTCCTTGTAATTTAAATTATAGAATGTAAGCACGAATTTTTAAATCAGCAATTTTAAGCTAAAGTCTCGAGGAAGAAAAATCTTAAAAGGGCCGCTTCATTTTTATTATTATTATATTTAAATTCATATTTATGAAATTCAAACAGCCATAAAAAAATTGCAATTCTGAGGGTTGACACTCGATTTAACTAAACCTTTTCCCTACAAAAGCATCTGAAAACTTGAGGGAATCATCATTTCTAACATTTTCACATAGCAACTTGATAATTTCAACAACATTTTGTGATTCTGAGACAATTATCTCAATGCTCAAAGTTAAATTATTTTTAAATCATGTGGAGGCAGGAAAAGGTAAATATTTGATAAAAACCTGTTTCAACCCTTGTGGGGTACAATTTTCGTCGCAATTTTTATTTCCATCTAGAAATTTTGCGTTCTTTGGATTTTAATATTATAAATAATTACTGCATATTATGCCCTCTAATTAAAATTTCACAGCTAGGTTTGTATGTATATCAACCGAATTGTGTTGCTCATGTTTACTTATTGCAACATCTTGTACCTGGAAACCTTTAAAATCACAGTAGTTGCCATTTCTAATCAAGCACACAAACCAACTGTGATGAATGCAGTCGTAAGTACGCAAGTGAATGTGTTCATTTGAAACCTTTGTCGGCATCCGCCTTGAAAGGGGGTGCATAAAATTCAATTTGCCGCTTGATAAGATCAGGGCTAATAGCGCTCACCTGCCTTAGCATGCACGAGTCGGCAAAGGAAGGATGAGCTGCGCGTCCTGGATGGTGCAATATATCATTTGATAAGGCTGGCTGGCCTTTTATATTCAACACACGGCCATGAATAAGAAAGGGTTCGCTCGACGAACAATGGATTGAATAGACACCTCGCGCAGGATCGATACACGTGCACCTCTTTCCTCAGGGTGCACTCAAACAAAGTGCCGGCGATACGTGCAGCACCCACGTACGCTTCAGGCCAAAAGACGATTTGTCAAGTCGGGCTCGAGGCATTCAATGCCGATCCGTGGTTATCAATTGCCGAATTCTTTGGCACTTTGGGCTAAAGTGCATAATTTATCTTGAGTTAGATACTGGAAATCTCAAATTCATTTTATCGTAACAAAAAAAAAATTTGAATTTAAGACGCTGATTCACTATTGCATTTGCTCTGAAAGCATCAGTTTCTCATTAATTAAATTTCAACACAATTTAATCTCATCAAAAAACTTCAATAAAAGTTAAAATTATAAATTATTACCTTTGAAATTTATTTTAAAATCTCTCTGTTCAAAATTATAAACATAAAAATTGCATGAATGATAATTTTGTGAAATCAACATAATTAATTATATCAAAATTTTGAAGGAAATCTAAAATTTTCCAGTATTGTGTGAAAAAAGTTTTATTTTTTGTCTCCCATAAAATACATTTCACCTATTTTGATTCTAAACTAATCGTCAAGAGAGTTCAGATCACGATTGCCTACTTTTTTGTTCAGCCAGTAAAAGAGCCCGAGGCTCTCATATCACCCAGCCAGCGATCTTGATTCTTCTCACTTGACAAACAACTTGTTTCGCTGTTTGTTTGCAGTTCGGTGGTGGAAGCGACAGACGTTCAGCTCAACATGCGAGTGGGAATTCACTCTGGCCGCGTCCTCTGCGGCGTGCTCGGCCTGAAGAAGTGGCAGTACGACGTGTGGTCCAACGACGTCACTTTGGCCAACAACATGGAGGCCGGCGGAGAACCAGGGTAAGCAAGCAAACGACTATTGCCACCGGTGGCTAATTTATGAGCTCAGTCAGGGCGAACGGCAGACTTTGTCGATTTATTTCACCGGTGCCAATTTGTCTTTGTTGAGAAGCACCAGACTGCCCAGTTGTAACTTTTTTTACACCGAACGACCGAACTTGCTCGTTTGTTCCTCTCTGAGAGAAAATTGCATTTTTTGTGATCAGCTAAATTTATCTGGAGTGTAATTGCCTTTTAGGATTGGAGGAATAAAATATGAATAATAGCACATTTTGAATGAATGTCAAATTAATTAATTACCCTTTAAATCGATTTGGATTTTGGAAAAATTTGCTCTCCTGTAAGGATCGAATAAGGGGTTCATCCCAAAATTTCCCGCCAAACGCATTTTAGTTGCTAAATCACTCAATTCGAATAAACGAGCGAGTTCAAGAGAGTTCAAATTTCTTCAAAGTTTTGAATGCTTTTTGAGGGAAAATTGATCCTTTAATAAATCCCATAACAAGGCATATTTTTCAATCACGATTTTACATTGAGTCATTGTTCTTATTGAATTCTAGAAAACAAATATTTTCTGGAGAGGCACTTTAATTTTAATTTCTACTTATTCAGCGCCTGCGATAACGATGATATGCAACCCGCAGATTATGGCTGTCGAGCGGAGTGCCTACTTTTGAGCGGATCCGCTCGCCGGGCAGATCAAATCAACTAATTCAGAAGAAGTGTAATTTAATTTCGCTAATGCGCGGCCCGGTGTAATTTAATTAGTCAGAGTTCCGCTGCCGGGAGCAACTCTTTTAATCATTGGCCGCCAGAGTGCTTTTTAATTATCGATCAAAGCAATCCGTTTTCACGGGCGCCATGGATTTCTCTTGGGAGAGAGAGGACGTTATTATTTGCCAAACACCGCCTGCCGTTTGGTGACAAAAAACGGTGCGATCGTAACATGTGTGGAAAAGCAATCAAAAGGGGATTTGCGCTCAAGCTTTGATTGAAATTATTTTACTCCAGCGTGCACTACTTTCTCTTTAATCCGAGAGTGCTTTCGATTTGCTAATTGGAACGAAATTTCTCCCGTGCGGCGTGAAATTTGAATTCGTGCAGGGCGAATTTCCGCTCTGGTAGTCAGGGTTGAAAGGAAAGAGAAATTCTCGCATTCCGATATCAAATATGAATCCTGGGAAATTCACGCCTGCGTGCACTTTACACCGGCGACGTATATTTTACCTGAACCAATTAGTTTTCGTTTTTTTTTTCTTCCTTTCTTTCTTCCCAACGAACACGCAAATTCACTTCCCTTAATGAAGACGGATTGACAATTGTGGAGCGAAATGACAATGAATGATGCATCCGAATTTCCTGTCACGCTTCTCGTCAGCGTCGTCGGTATGGAAATATTTAGTTCGGAAAAGCTCGTAGAGTTTTTGAATATTAATTAATTGCAGATGAATTCGGGACCCTTTTAGCCGATTTGTGTGCAAATCGCTTTAATTTGATCTGCCAACTTGGCGGGATTTTGACTTTGTTCGCTAGTTTTGTTTACTTTTGCGTAAGCCGAGCTATTAAATAGATGTCGGGAACGTGACACGGAAAACGAATTGCCGAATCGTGCTGAGCGTAAATTTGATTAAATGTTCGCAGGCGAGTTCACGTGACGCAGGCGACTCTGGACTACTTGGGCGGCGAGTACGAAGTGGAGCCAGGCTACGGATCGACCAGAAACAATTATCTCAGGGACAACAGCGTCACCACATACTTCATCGTGCCGCCACCGCGCAGGAGAAAGGTCAGCTGCATGAGATCACGACTTACAAGTTTCAAGGAGAGCGATTTCCCGGCATGCGACAACTTGGCCATTCTCAATGGTCATTTCACTTGTTGGCCGAGTGACGCAAAAGTTTATAATTTGACCTCCAACAGACGTCACGATATTCCAACTATTTAAATTTTCTTTCAGTAAAGATTAGAAAATCATTTTTAAATAGTATTTACATGTGATTTAATAATTTATTTTAATCAACATTGAAAAATATATACAAAAGAATAACATTATATTAAAATATTAGTCACATGAAATTGTGTTCTTTTTCGTGCTCAAATTGTATTAAAATTTCTAGTTAACAACTACATTTCTTTAAAAACTATTAATTTTGCATTGTGATGTTATTTGCGTTTTACAATTTATAAAAGAGCTGGTTTTTCTCAAGAAAACTAAGTACATTTTCAACTTAATTTTCTAAATTTAAAAGAAAAAACTTTTCCTCAAAGTATAATTTGCAATCTTAAAATATTATTTTATATTTCAAAAAAACAGTAAGCAAAGTAAAAGATAAAATAATGCACAAAAATATTCCTAAATAGCCTCAAAATATTGGATAGTTTTGAAGGAGATTCAAAATATTAAATTTAAATTGATAAATATGTAAAACTATCTTACAAAAAGCACTTTACCACAATGACAATATAAATAGTGAAAATAATTAGTGATTTAAAAGATGTCAAAGATTCTGCTCAATTAAAAAAAAACCATGATTTCTGTTTTTTCCAGATCCGACCTGTGGTGACTGGAGTCAACAAACGAAAGCTGTCCTTCAGGAATGTGTCCAACGTGGTTGTTCAGTTGCTGCACTCAATCAAGTACTCCATGGAAGTGCCATTTTCCAACATGGCCGTCGCTCCCGGCGGAAGTGCAGACAAGATGCACGCAGCCAAGAAGGTAAAATCATTCAATTTCCACGTCTCTCTCGTTAGGAACTTTGCCGTACTGTAGATATTATTGAATTACATTCTCGAGAGTACATACACGTTATTTACATTAGATTCTGCATCATCCGATTGACTAAGTTGGAAAGTAGGTTGTGACCTTGGCCAATAATTATGTCAATTTGCGCAACTTGGAGGAAATGTCAGTTAAGGAGATGTGCAACCATCGCGGAGATTTATAACATTTTCACATCCGGCCTGCAAAATTCTCCACGACAAACACACTCCATTTGCAGCAAATTTGATTAAACATTCAAGGCTGAAAGTGTGTTTGAGTTGTTAAAAGTCGGCTCTGTTCCGGGATCAATAAAAGCGCCTTATTCCTCGTTGGCCACGAGCCAAACGCAACCTAGACCTACGCTACATAATGACGTTCGGCTCAAAAATCGGCGCGCCAACCGGCGAAAAACCTTTCGCAATTACCGCTGCCGTAAAGCAGAGCACCGGTGTTTGCTCGGAGGTAATTGAATCTCCGCGAGTGCACTTTGGGGACGATGCTGCCGCAGTGCCCAATTATGCCCGGTCGCAAACTGGGTATTTTTCTCCCGGGGTTAATGTTCGTTTTTACTTTCAAACTGGGCCAGAAGGGAATAAATTTTACTTCCATAATTGTCGTTTCAATATCTAGTTAAGAAATATTTCCTCTAGTTTTTATTCATAAAGAGGAGTTTTAATTCAAATTATTAAGTCGTTGGTCTCGACAATGCTTTTGGCAAGTCATTTTTCCTGATTCTGTCGATCAAATTTTTCTACACTAATATTGACGGCTGCACTTGGATTCCAAAGTCAATTTTCCTTAAATATAAAAATAATAATTAATTTTTTCTAAATTATTAATGAAATGTGTACCAAGTTTTGTTGAAAAATAGCAATATTAACAAAATTAAGAAGAAAAAATGTGGTCAAAGTGTCCAGAAATTCAGAAAGTTTCAAAACTGTCAAATTTTTGTGAAACAATACACAAGGGTCAATTTTCAGCAAAAATATTAAAAAAAAAATTTATCGCTGGTAACCTTTTGTTCTAAAAGCTGCACCAAAAATTTTCAATTCTGAATTCTGAGCCTTCAGATTCAGTGGGGGAATTTTGATTAAAAATGTAGTTGAAAGTTTCATGAATTATAGTTAATTTTGCTTGATTGCAATTTGCACCAAAGCAACATTTTATCCATAGGTATCCATTAGAAAGCGAAAGTCAACTCATTTCTCTTTCTCTCATGTAATCAGTAGGCTGCTAATATGAATTATATTGATACAATATTCCCGGCATGCTTTTTCTGGCCTATATAGGACCCGGTAAGTGTCTGCCACACTGTCCGAGCTGACATTCCACTGATCATGCGCGCGCCCTCTCATTATTGTGATTATCTCTCTCACGGCAGACATCGTCAGTCACTATCATGCTCAGAATAATTAAGCCCCTAATCCATCATCTCAATGTCATCTGGATTGAAATTAGAAGCAAAATTTAAAAAAAATCATTCATAAGCTGCACACCTGCTACCGTTCGGATCAATCCTTCATGAGCTGCAAAATTAGAGGAGTTAGATAGCATTTCGTGCATGCAGTTAATTGGCTGTGTTTACATCAAATGTAGGATTTATGCGATCATTGCTGGGAAAATTCCTATTTTGGAAATATTTATACACTAATTTTCTCAGCCCACAACAAAACAATTCTTGAATGATACTAGATGCTTCCTAGTTAATTGCACAGCTAAAATTTCCAAACATTCAAATTCCAATATAAATTAAAAATAATTTTATTTCTAACAAAATTTAATTCTTCGCAGGTGCTGGATTTACAGAGGGTGCTCCACGCTGACCCGGCTACATCCGGAGGGAGATCGTTCGGATCCGAATCACTTGACCTGAGGGACATTGCTGGAAAGGTAAAGTGTCGAGTGCAAATTTAACCGTCACTGATCGGTGTTGATTTGACAGAACAAATCCGGTGACAAGTTCAAGCGTCCGTTCAAAAAGCGTCACTCGAGCGTCTACCATCAGCCGTCAAACCGAGTCAATAAGTACCTGGCGCAGGCCATTGAAGCGCGCAGTGTGGACCGGGAAAAAGCAAACCATGTGACGCTGACGACCCTCTGCTTCCGAGACCATAACAAAGAGAGCCAGGTGAGTCAAGTGGCGGCTCTTGAGCTGCGTCTCTGCCAAAACGTTTGCTCCTGTTGAGAGGGCTACTGGTTATTTTATTTTGATATTTTTTTCTATAGTCACTTAGAAATGTGAAGCTTTGTGCTATTTTTTTTTTAAATTTCATATTATTAATTATTTTAAATTATTATTATTATTGATTATTATTGAAGTAATGTTTCTTTTCCATAATTCAATCAAAATATAATTTCATATTATAAGAAATAAGCAAGTTTTAATTTCAGATAAATTATCAGTGAATTACTTCACTTCCGTGTTTTTTTTTTTATATTTTTTTTTTATTTGAACTAGTTCAATATTCAAAGTTGCGTGAAGGTCAAAGCCGAACACTTGAAGTGAACAGATAGAACTGTAGCCAAAAACAATTTTAACCCCATCAGTTTGTGTGCTCTGAGGTACTCGGAACTTCACCGTGACTGTGAGTACCTCCGCCGCGCTCTGCAAAAGTTTTCAGCTCTCTTGAGAAAGCGCGTCAGGAACGCATTTGAAATAAAAGTCACTCTCTCAAGCCAACAGTTATATAAGAGCAAGGATTTGCTCACACCCTTGGTGCTCACGCGATTGTTCTTTTGCTGTGTAGAAGTAATGAATAGCAAGAATGTGCGACCGTAAAGCGAAATAATGCACCTCAGGTGAATGGGGAATCGCGACGAGATGTGCTGCGAAATTGCAGCAAGCGAGGTCTCCGATGAGTCGTTTTTCTCTTGCTCTCTTAGAGTTAGAATAGAAATCTTCCTTGTTGAGAAACGCTCTTTGTGTAATAACCACCAACAAGATATTAATAATTCTTAGAAATAATTAAAATTATTGTTAATAATTCTCTCTTTTTTTACTAATCTTTATGTAATATTCTTTATTTTTCCAAAGTTAATTACAATTTTTATAATATTTTTATTCTTTATCTCTCTAAGTTTATTTTTTTAATTACACAAATATTTGCATTTTAACAACATTGTTTTTCCACTCGTTTTCCTCTTTCATTCGCTGTAATTCGATTTGAATTGCTAACGGTGTGACCGTCCGATCGCCCGGCTCGGATTTTCCGCGTGCACGCGCTTTTTCCGCACTCAATCTAGCAGGTCAATCGAAGCGAGAGTAAATGACGCATGTATAGTACATACAGGCAAAAACAATACAGGCCGCGTTGTTTCCAAACTCACACGAGCGCGTATCGATCAGCTCTCAAGCCTCGGGGAGGAATTTACACTCGCCATTTGCGCCCACCGGACATTTAAGTCTCCTAAAAAGAGCTTTAAAGTAATAAAACACGGGCGCGCTGGAATAACTCCCAGGGGGATTTGGAAACGGAGCGCGGCAAAAAGCGCCGCGTCTGACAACTTGAGGCGCACAAAGTGCGGATTTGCCGCTGCAAAAGGTCATCAACGCCGTCCTGAAAACCGGGAAAGGGCCACCTGGGGAACGTGATGCATCGGAAACGGCTTCTTATCAGCCCCACACTAAATTTGCTGCGAGTTAAGCACGTTAGCCGGCGCGTAAATAGGGATGTTAGGACGAGGGTCAATATTCCAAGGGACTGACTACGAGGGGACTAGAATTATTTTTCTCACAATAATTTTGCTATAGTTGGAATTCTTGTGATTTTTTATTGAATAAATAATAAGAATAAAAAAAGTGCAAAATTTCATGAAATTGAAATTCTGATCGAAAAATTTCCACTCCTAATAACCAGGGGGTTAATCAAGATCCACCTTTGCCGCCAATAAGAACCTTATCAGAAGGGTTGATCTAAAGTGTAGAAAAAGAAAGTTGCTTATTTGAAAATAATCTAGTGAAAAGCAACAAAGACTGAAGGTTGTTACTTTTGACTGCAATTTTGATTGCAATCATGAAATTTTGTTTCATTTTGGGCTTAAGAAAATATCATTAAATGATCATCTTTTTATAATTTCTCAAAAAATATTTTACACTAAAATATTTTAATATAGAAATTTTCCAAGTAAATTTTCCGTTTATTTTTTAGGAATGAATTATTAAATTTTTTTGTTTCGTTCAATTTCAGTATCACGAAGACGCAGACGTTGGATTTGGAAGCTCCCTTACGTGTTGCCTCTTATTGCTGACCATGCTCGGCGCGATGCAGAGCGTCGTGCTGCCCAGGACTACAATTCTCTTGGTGCTTTTCCTCACTGCCTTTGCGTGGGTGGCCGTTGTGCTGATGCTGCTTCTGGCCGTCCGCTTGCGCATCATCCTTTGGGACATTTCGCAGAGTTTTGTTCTTCGACTCGCCATCACCGCCTTCACAATCATCCTCATCTATGCTGTAGGACAAGTCAATGTGGTGAGTCTAATTAAGAAAAATGGTCATTCTTTTAAATTTAATATTATATAAAAAAAAAAATACTTAATTTAACATCACAAAAAAAAGTAAAGGGGCCGTTTTTCCTGACTTGTTGATTTGTTAGCTAATTTAAAAATATTATATATTGGTAATACAGTTGTGGCCAAATTTTCATCAACCCACAAATATAATTTTTGAATAGTTAATTAAATTTAATCCTGTGTACTATAAATTTATCTTTTTGATTAAAATAAAAGCAATTTAATGAATTTATACTCTCTGCCCCTTTTCGAGGAAAATTTAAAATGTATTTTTTTGTTTCTCTCTCTGTAAAAGTTCACTTGCCGGATCGACGCGCCGTGCACCCCTCTAGCAACAAACGGCTCCGCACCGCAGTGGCCGCATGTGGGCGACCACCGCGCGTGTTCCCTTCCCCAATACGTGGTGCTCTCCTGTTCCCTCGGCTACCTGGCTGTGGCCGTTTTCCTGCGTCTGCCCATCGCCATCAAGGCCGCCCTGCTCACTCTGATGGCCATCGTCTACATTCTGCTGATTGAACTTTCGCACATTCAACTTTTTGAATGCTTCGACCACCGAGTCCAGTAAGAAATCAAATTAATTTATGTATTCCACTTAATCAAAATTTATCTAAATTCAAAATTTTCTAATTGTTACTAAAATATATTTTAATTTATTTCTGCGTTTAAAAAAAAAATATTCCACCTATTATACTGAATGTTATTATTGGAATTTCATATAAATTTGAAATCTGATTTGAAATTTTTATTGTACCAAAGCACTTGAATTGTGGTTGAATGGGACCCCTTTTGTAAACTGCTGCCTCAGTTTATTTAAACGTTTTGTGTGTTTGAAACAACCCGTTTGAATAATTCACTCCGCAGCTCCATTGTGCCGCAACACGTGCTGGCGGTGGTCTACGTCGTCATGTTTTCGGTGGCCGTTTTGATTCACGGCCGCCAAGTCGAGTGGACGGCCAGACTGGATTTCCTCTGGCAAATGCAGGTTTGTTTGATGGAATGAAAAAGTAATTTGTTCGCGTGTTTGTGACAAATTTATGTCCGCAGGCCAACGAGGAAAAAAGGGACATGGACGCGCTCCAGCACAGCAATAAGCGGATCCTGTTCAATCTGTTGCCAGCTCATGTCGCCACTCACTTTTTGGACAACCAGTTTAGAAACAACATGGTGAGTCGGCAACTTTCAATTTCACAGGGGTAGTGAGTAGAAAAAAGAATTAAAAATTAAAATTTTATTTGGGGTAGAAAAAAAATCAATTTAGATTTCATATTTAGAGTAAAATGCTTGATTGAGGAAAAAAAATTGTGTTTTGGAATTTGGAAAAAGGAAGGTTTGATGATACAGTTGGAAAGATTATGACATGTGCATGCAATAGAAATTTAGTGTTTTCCTTTTTCTGAGCCAAGTGTAAGCGCCCTGTAGTTTCGAACCTAGAACATTGTCATAAATTTGAGCAGATCATGTTTACATTTACTTTGGTGGTGGTTTTTCGCTTCCGGGGTAAATCTACCTTTGATTTGCATGCCCTGAATTTGAAGCAGCAAAAAAATATGAAAATTTCCTGGTTCCTCTTGGTACTTTGGCTCCGGACACAAGGAGACTGTTCCTGTAGCTGTTTGAGTATTGTTTGGTTCCTAAACTTGCATGCATTTGGGACTGCCATGGCAGAACACTTTGTCGCAGGACCTGTACCACCAAAGCTACTCGAGGGTCGGCGTCGTTTTTGCCTCCATCAACAACTTCAGCGAGTTCTACTCGGAGCTGGATGGAAACAACCAGGGCGTGGAATGCTTGCGACTTCTGAACGAGATTATTGCAGACTTTGATGAGGTTTGTTGAAAAAATGTCAATTTGAAAAAGATTTTTAAACAGTTTCCTTTTCCTTCTCAGTTATTAACAGAGGACCGATTCAGAGCAATTGACAAGATCAAAACTGTCGGATCGACTTACATGGCTGCGGTTGGACTGATTCCTGAGCTCAAAATTCTGGATGACGATAATGAAGCCACTGCTGGATTTTATCTGGGGACTTTGATCGAGTTTGTCTTCGCCATGAGGGAAAAGTTGCTCAACATTAATGAGAATTCGTACAACAATTTCATGCTGAGAGTTGGTTAGTTAAATTGAGTAATTTTTTTAATCTTTTTTTAATTTTCTATTCTTTCATCTAGGCATCAATATTGGACCAGTTGTCGCCGGAGTCATTGGTGCTCGAAAGCCGCAATATGACATCTGGGGCAACACAGTGAACGTAGCTAGCAGAATGGACTCGACAGGCTTGCCAAATCACACACAAGTACAATTTTAGATTTCTTTGTAGTTTCTTTTTACATAACTTTTTGGCGCAGGTGACGGAAGAGGTTTACCAAGTCATGAAGCACTATCCCTACGAGTTCCAATGCAGAGGAAAAGTGAAAGTGAAAGGCAAGGGTGACATGACTACCTACTTCCTAACTGATCGCAAGCAACAAGGCACAATAAGGGTGGAAGAGCTTTCTAGCCTCAGGCACAACTCGAACACGTCGAGTGAGTTGAGATATTACATTGACAACGAGTACCGATGACCTACTTTGTTGATCCACTGCTTGATCCTGCCCTCCCTTGTCATTGTACAAACCCAATTTTTCTTTTCGTTTCTGTTCCGTATTTATTAAATTTGTGTAACCTTCAGTGAACAGCAAGCATGCCTTTTCCATCCTGCCCAAACCTCTCTTTGTGAAAATGGATGTTGCTCCGCTCATCCTCCAGTGTGTGTTGGCCTCTTCCTTTTTTACTTTATATACATTTTAAAATTATTATATTGTCCGTTGATAATTATTATTTCTCTCTCTCCTAAGTCAATGCATTTCTAGGTCAAATTTGAAAGACCGAAAATTGCACTTTGTTCTTCTCAGACATTCCATCTTTCATCAACTAGAGGTAGTAACATGAAAGATGTGGTTTGCAATCATTAATCTCATCAATTCACTCGATAAAATAAAAATCTGACTGAATAAATAAACAGCACGCGCAAATGATAAAAAAAATGCAAATAAAAACTAAAATGATTAACCCTCATTACTGCGCCGCTAGGTTTTGCTCACCGATTTATTTTTTTGCACGCGTAATTTTCTTTCCCTGGCTTCCTTTTTCTAACCGGCACACTCGCTTCTACCGCTGACCGCACCCAGCTCTGCATGCTAACCCTGATAGACCTAGTAAGCATTCACACAAGTTCAGACTCATTTTGCTCGCTCTCATTACTGCCCACGTTTCAGACAACATGTACGGAGGGGTGGCCACCCCGTTGGCCCTTGTCCATCAGCAGGGCCCAGGAGACATTCGCAACGGGCGCCGAGCCCTCGGCCTGTCTCTGAACCGCGACGACTCGTACCCCATGCGAACCGGACCCAGACTTCCACCCCTTCGAGAAGGTGATGGTGCCAACCACAATGGCACTGGGGGTGGAAGTATGGGCGCCGCTGCGGGGGAAAACGAACCCCTGCTGCCCAGCAACGGGCTCTCCAACCACCACAAAATCGTCCCGGCCCAAAAAATGAACCCCCTCCGCCTACCCGAACTGAACGGACACAACTACCCCTCGGCAGGCAGACACCACAACGTGCAATTAGTACAAAACTCCTCCACCGCCCTGCAACCCTCCCTTCTGCCGGCCGCCGAGGCCAGATACACCCCGCCCTGGCCAAGAGGCGCCAACTCGAATGAAAAACCTCCCTACTTGAAACCACTGCCCAAACTGCCACCCAAAGAACACCGAGTCAAGCCCTCGCACCACCCCAACTCGGCCGCGCCACCCCTCCCCGTCCGCCAACACCAACCCCTACCCATGGTGCCTCCACTCGCCCCGAAGGAACGCAAAGGAGGCCCCGACGAAGTTCGCAGCAGCCGCCTGAGGAACCTCCAGAGGCACTACTCGGAAGAGAGTCTGGCCGATCCGCACCACCAGCTGCTGCGCATCCACAGCTCAGCCGACGAAATCAGCTCACTGAACCACTCGCCGAGCATCAGTTCGTCGGACGAGAGCTACAGCCGGACGACTGATGCGGCCGACTCGCCTTCGCCGCCCCCGGCCAGCGCCGAAATCAACACCGCCCGCTGGCTGTACCCCTCGGACATCCAGGTCGACCCCTCCTCCCTGGAGAACTCGCCCCGAACCTCCCACGACTACATCCCTCACTGCTACCTGCCAGGCAGTCTGACCAAAAACGGCAAGTCGCCCGAAGGCGCCTCCGGAGGCTCTCTGGGCAAAAACCGCAGCTTCTCCCCCAAGCAGCTGCGACGACCGTCCCCCACCAGTTCAAAACCGCCCGCCGTGGTCGACCTTCTGCCCATGTTCATCGACTCCTCGGCTTCGGTTGTGTCAAGTCCTCTGCCTCCCCACTTGGATGGTGACGAATCCTACAAGGGGGACAGTTGCGGCAGTTTTGAGTACGTCGGACGTCCGAGGTCTCTGGCGCAGCCCAAGCAGCGACCCAACATTGTGACCAACGCCAACACCAGGAAGACCAGTTTGGAAAAGGCGAAAATGCCCTCGCCGTTGACGTCAGTTCCGGAAAAATTGCCATCAACACCAGAAGGGTCGATGACCCGGCGGGGCAGCGGGGAGGAATCGAGCAGAGGAACCACCCTGAGTTTGAAGAAGGACGGCTCGAGCCAGACCGAGAAGTCTATCGTGAGGAAGGTGTCGCCGAAAATTCCCAATTTCGAAAAGGAAATCCAAAAACTGTTGGACGAAAATCAAAAGGTGCTTTCGCCGACGTCGGCCAAAACGGTGCCGCCGAGGAACAAGAAGGAGATGTCGCTGGAAGAGCTGCAGAATGTGAACCAAGTGTTGGCCGAACTCGGACAAGCCAGCCTGCAGAGCCACCTCATCGCCAGGTACAAAATTAACCCTGAGGGAATTGACGCATGCAAAAATTAAAAGAAATATTTGTTTTTTAGTTTTAATCACAATTCTGCATTTTAGCCAATTTGCCAATCAAAATAATTTCAAATTAATAAATTCATTTTTAAACGTTCGTCCCTGGCTCAGGTACGTCCACCTTAAGCAGCAGCAGCAGCCGGCGGCGGTGCCAGCGATGCAGCGCGACCACCTGAACAACAACCCATCGGCGACGACCACCACTCAGGTGGGCTTGGCCGCCCTGCAGGAGTTGGCCAAGCGGCAGCAGGACGAGCTGAACACGAACCTGCTGGAGCGGGCGGGCGCCATTGTTAGATTTGACCCGTTAGAGAATAAGATGACCTTGCACGTGGCCGGCGAGGCCAAAAATTCACTGCCCATTAGGGACAGGGACGGCTCGCTCAAGAGGGCGAGGCTCGAGGCGCAGCAGCAGGCGCAGAAGCTGCAGAAAAAATTCCCACTCGAGATCCCGACGGAGCAGTCGAGCTTGCCGGACGAGCTGCGGCTCCGCGCCAAGTTCCTCAGGTAATTTCGCCGCAGTCACTTTGGCCCACACGCAGCATGACAACTTATTTATATTGGTTGGTCAAATTAATTAACCAATTAACAAGGAAAATTTTGGAAAAATTGAGACATTTATTTGTACTTGTACAACACATTAGGAGATTTCAACTGTTTAAATAATTTTTAGTAATTTTAGAAAAATGTACAAAATCCTTTAATTATTTTGTCACTCCCTGTTGATTAATGTCAGCTTAACAATTAATTTTTATCAAGTGCTGAACGGCAATTTTTGGCACTAATTCTGAACTAAATAATTGAAAATGAAGCTTTTATTGCTTTTATTGTGGGTCAGGCTAAAACAAATTGTCTTATCGGCCCGTTCCTTTATTGAGTTTACAGAAACCAAGGCAAGCTCTTCCAAAGTTGCTTTTTTTCTAACTCTTTAAAAATTGGAAATGGTGCCAAAATGTGCTATTTCTCTTTTGTAGCTTCTGAATGTTTAACTCTATAATTACGATAATTATTATTTCTTTTGAAATGAGACCCAAAATTATGTACCGTAGTTAAAAATACAGTAGGAACTCACTAGCTGATTGAAATAATTAATCTTTTCAAAATTTGACTGCTGATTACTTTTTAACATTGATTTAATGTGAAAACAGACTGACTATTTTAGTTTCACTCCGCACATCTTACTGTCTGCAATGCTCGCCGAGGACTAAAACAACTAACTTATGGTGATGGAAAAACGAAAAACACTCCACTCTGCAAATATTTCTTTCATGCATCAGTAACTGACCCTGCTCTTCTCTCTTTTACTCCACACTAACACACACTTACTTTTGGCAGTGAATTTTTGTGCTTTGTGCCTCTCGTATTCTTTAGTCAAAAATATTTACCCGAAATTCCCCACTGTAGTTTTCTAGACCAACATTTGTAAATATATCAAAACATATATCAAAAATTCGCTTTAGAAATGAGTGAATGCCATTTCATTACTAACTTATTAACCATATATCTATCAAGAGTGGCATGTCCTGCAGCATGTTATTGGGAACTAATAATATTTAATGTGGAAAATAAATTATAATTTTGCTTAAAAAAAATATTATATATTTTTTTACAGCAGCAGCCCCGCGCCGGCGTCTGCGAAGGAGAGCGAGTATGAAAATATGGAAAGTGACGTGCCTGATCAGCAAAGTGATGATGAGGCCAAAAGGAAGACTGAGCAGGAGGTTTCGAAAAAAGAGCCGGAGAAGATCCTCGATCGGCAGCAGCGCGAAGTGGACGATGAGGAAAGGCGCGAACAAGAGGAAATCGCAAGTTTCGAGGAAGAAGAACGAATGATTGCCGAGCAGGTGGCCAAGGTGATTTGCTAAATTCAAATTCCAGTTTGTTTTCATTTTATATTTCTTATTTTCTATGCATGCAGCCATTTTTGAGATATCAGGTGAGAACAAAAAATCCAATTACTTTTTCAACTAATACTTCTAACCTGTTAGATATCAAAACATAATCATTTTAAACTGAACTAACCGCCTCACAATCAACCAGATATTTAATTATTAAAAAATTTCTCTTTCTAAAACTTTATAATTGAATTCTAGGAGGCTGAAGAAGCAGAGGCGGCAGCAAAACTTGCAGCCGAGGCCACTTCAAAGTCTGAACAAGGTGAACAGTCAGAATGGAGCGAAGACGATGACGAAGAAAACGCAGCGTCCGAACCTTTACTCAACGACCGTGAATCGACCGGATACACAACTGATGATGGTATGCTCGAAAACGTCTCCATGCTCAATGAGGCTGGACTCACTGATGCAGAAGGTAATCTTATTATTTCTAATAAAATGAAAGCTTGCAAAAAGTTGAATAAATTTAGGTTATTTTCTTTATTAATTTTGAATTCAGTTTCAACTAAGAATATAATATTTGAATTAAAAAAGGTTTGATTTCAAGTACATAAATACATGAATAAATTCTGGATTTTTAATGTTATAATTATTGAAAAAGAAAAATAAAACTTCTTCATTGTTTGAATGTTTGTAGTGATAATTTTCTTGTTAAACAAATTATTAGTTATGGTTCAGTTGTGGTTCGCTTGATGAAACTTTTCATTAATTTATATTATTTTTTCTTTTCTTTTAAAACAAATAAAATTACAAGAAAACAATTATTTATAGCTGAAATGCCACATTTTTCATCTATTATAATTTTTAATAGGATATTTTAAATTTCTCCTGGAAATAACCAAAAGAAAATTTTTACAGTTATCAATCAGTAAATCATTTTATAATGGCCATTATATTTTACAACTAAAAGCCCATGTTTTGTGTAGGTGCTTTGAGCGACGTGAACTCAGTCTTCGATGACCACCGACTTGTAGATAACGACTTAGACGACGCGAGCATTTCATCACGCGCCTCGTCTCGGCTCTTCGACTCTGACGCCGTGCTCAGCCTGGACTCGCTTAACACGATGTTTGACTCCGAATATGACAACTTCCGAGGCGCAGGTGGCGGCGGCGGCGGCGGAGGAGGAGGCGTCGTTTCCGACGACGAGATGTTCCACCACGAGACCATCTCCGACCTGGACCTGGACTACTTTGAGGACATCAACCTGGCCAACATTCGGTCCATGTCCGAAAGCATCACAAGAAACTTTGGCCAGCCGTGCAGCGAGACCGACCCTGACAGTGACGTGTGATAAAATCAAAATTAAAACTTAGTGCAAGAAAAGAGACTGACAAGCGGAATTTTCGATGAATGTGACACGGGTTTTTAACAAAAGAGACTCTCTAGAACGAGCAGAGCAGATTAAGTGTTGTAAAAAATGTATGTGTTATTTAAAACCAAATCCTGCGAGTTTTTGGATTTGACGATTTTAATTTATTGACGTGCTCTCCGGTGGCTTTCACTTTTTTTTATCAATTTTATTTCCAAACCTGGATTTTTTTACATGCACAAAAAGTAAAGAGAAATCAGATCCGAGTCTTCAAAGCACAAAAACTCTGAATCAGCAAAAGGCAGATGATTCCGTATGCCTCTGTGATATTAATTCTTGTGCAAACTTGACGTACCACTCTATATTCTACAAACTAGTCAGTTTTCCAAATTATGCCGATCCGTTTTAAAACCACAGTAAAAAAATTAATAATACTCAATTTGCTTGGTTGGACTATTTTTATCCGAGTTGCATTATAATTATGGTTTGCCGGAGAGACCCAAGAAATTATAGAGTTTAAATTTAAAAATTAATTTAAAAAAACAAAGCAATAAAAATTTCACAATAACTTGTCTCTTTTTCATTTAAATTATCTACAGTCTATTTTTCAGATAAAAATTCATCACAAGAATCATAAAAGTTCAATATTCATTGAGAATTTTCAGTCATTATGATAGCCCTTGTAGGGTCGACTGCGTCTGCTGTCCACCACAAAAGGAGGCGCTCGGTCCCGAGCCTCTCTAGTTTGGTATTTGCGTTCAATCACTTTGTCGAAGAACCGTGCCAGTTTCACTGCAGCACTCGAACCAGCAGCAAGAGATCGTCCTTCATGACAATCCTGTAAATGTATAATTCAATAATATTAATTCCCCAAATTTAAAACTCGGGGTTGTATAATTTTTAAATTAAAATTCATTATCAAATTAAAATATATGTATAAAAATTAGAGTCCTCACCACAACTATTTCATCAGCTCCACACTCTTCTGCAATCGAAGGTGATCTTCTGCTGGTTCTCAGTTTTTCAACTAGGTCACTTTTGGTTCCTATCACAAGAATTGGAATCTGAAATCAGGAAACAAATAATTATATTTCATTTCAGTCAATTTCAATAATTAAAAATGCATTTAAATTGGTTAAAAAAAATTTGATGTTAGGGAAATTTTTTATATTTGTATTGTCGCATTCGTTATTGCAATCATTTTCAATCTTAAGAATTTGCAATTTAAATTTAACTCTCAACTGTGATTATAACCACTTTTTAATAACCATTTTATATTAATGAGAAATCTTTTGTTTTGTTTTAATTATGTGGACACTTTTTTAAAATTATATTTTGCTCTTCACACCTGAGTTGATCCGACAAATTGCTCAGGGTCAAACTGGTCGGTGGCCACACTGCGGCTGCTGCTGGCGCTGTCCCTGTTGAGCACCTCGGCCAACCACTTGCGCAGGTTCTCGTGGCTCTTCCGGTTGCTCAGGTCGTGCACCAAAATAATGCCGTGCGTAGGATTGTAGAAGACGTTGCGGGCGTTGCGGTGGCTGCTGCTGCCGCCGATGTCCCAAAACTCGACAAAGTACGACTTCTGCGCCGGAGTGCCTTCTCGGAACTCGTGCAGTTTGACCTCGACGGAGCAGCCGACCGTCCAGGGCGGGCTGCCCACCAGAGGCTCGCCGTGGCTCATCAGATGCACCAGCGACGTTTTTCCGACACCTAAAAAAAAAGTATTCAATTCTAATGAAAAGTTCAAATACATAAAAAGGAAGTTTCTAGTTTCTACCGAAGATAAAAACATGGCAGAGAGTTTAAAATTAAGATTATTACAGGCTCAATTTTAGTTTTTTCCTTTGTGAATTAATCATGACATCTTTTCGTACCTGAATCACCAACGACGATCACTCGCACTTTGTCCATCGATGCCATTTCTGGTCGGTGCATGTTGGCAGCTCATCTGCTTAAAAAAATTATGCCGAATTAGCCTCATAATTGAATCAAAACTCACTTAAGTTTTTAGTTCCTTTTGAACACAAAAGATTAACATTACGACTTTTTGAAAATGAAAAGAAGAATAACAATAATTTGTACTACATAAACTTGTCTTCTAGTAAAAAGAAAAACAAAACCAATGATATGATAGGGTGTAGGGTGGATGCGATGACAGCGCCATCGGGTGTCATTTTGCTCGAAGCTTCTCTGTACAAGATTGAAGACCATGACGTCATCACCAAAATTCCGACCGACCAATCATATTGCACGATTATTGCACTCGGGCCTCGGCTGATTGGCTGAGAGCTCGGCGACCGTCGGCAACAAACGACGAACGACGAATTTTGAATTCGTTTTGTTGGAAACTTCTTGGTTGGAAACTGCAGAACCGAACCGATTCCACTAAGTAAGCCAGTTCCACATAGACGGTCGTCGGCGTAGGATCTTTCCGGGCAGTTTCTGAAAATGTGGCGATTTCTCACGGGTGGCGGTGGCGGCCCGCCTAAAAGGCCCAAACTCGATGGCGAAAAGGACAAAGCTGCTGCAGCAGGTGCAGATTCAGATCCTAATGATCATTCTAAAAATAAGAGACGATGAATCTTTTTCAATTTGTCAATTCTCACCTTATTTTCGTGTCCATTAATATGATTATATGCCGATTGCATTCAATTATACCGGCTGTTTTATTATGTTATTCGAAAAATTCTTTCGATTTTCTGCGATGTTCATTCCTCACATTTCACAATATTTTTTTTTAATTCTTATTCTTGAACGGTTTTGAAATTCCGGCGAAATGAAACCGTTAATCTGCTGAGATTTTTTTTTTAAATTTACTTCTACTAACAAAGGTTATGTCTCTTACTAAAACATACGAATCAATAGTTATATTTATGAGAAGAATTTTCCAACTGTGTTAATACAAAAATTACTCTTTTTATAATGAGAATGTCTCAAAAAGAATTCTACATTTCATTTAAAACGGATTCGGCAAGAATTCATCGCAATGAATAAAAATCTTTTAGACATTTCAATCTAATTTTATCTGTTTATAAAACTTTTGATACTTATTATATAAAAAATTCTTTTTCTTCATTATTCAAAAAAAGACGTTATCTAGCAGCGTTGAAATCGCCTAAATAATTCTTGTGACGGGATGTCAAAAAAATTCTTTTCGACATCTCACATTCTCCTTGCAAATGCAAACAGTTCTCAGATTAATTTTTGATTTGGTAAATTTCTCTTCAAATAATATATTATATTGGTTTGAATGGGGTCCAAGAACTTTAGATTCTTGGGAAAAAAAAATATTTAGAATTAAAAACAGTTAAAAATGGCGAAGTGCAGATTTCAAAATAATTATCATGTTTTGTATTTCGTTGTTAAAGTATTGAGAACTTATCCTTTTTAACATTCCATGAGACCAACAATATAATTATGAATTATTTTTTAAAAATTATTATCAAATTTTTGAAAGAATTGAAACACTAGGGGCAGTTTTGCTGTATATTTAAAAAATTGTATATTATGCTGAAACTAAGAATTGGATCGAAACGTCCGTGTTTCTAAAATTCAAAATTATTTTTATGAATGTCCCAGCACATTATAAACTTGATGATTGTGTTTATTTCGGTTTATTTTATCATTTTTTCCCGCTAATTTTAACATAAGATTCTCACTATAGCTGATTTGTGTTTTTGCATCTCATGTAAACGACTTAGAATAATTTTAAATTATTTGAAAGTGGTCTCTGCGGTCTGAAATCAGAGTAAAAAAATCTGATTTTCGCACTCACACAGCATCTTAGCATTTTCTAATTTAGATTTTGGAATTCGATTATGATTTATGATCATTGAAATGACAATAATAATAATTGCAGGACAAAATCGTGATGAGGGAAAGCAAGAAGGACAAAGTCGCGCCAATGTGTCCCAGCAGCAGCTGGCCTATAGCTCGTCGACACTCGAATCGGTCTCTGCACAACTTGGAAGCAGGCAAAGAGATCAAGAACTGCTTGCCAGTTACCCAGAAGTACAAGCAGCCGCGAGCCGCCCGAGCCAGGTTGTGGTGTCAAGCCTTGGAAATTATGAGCAGAGAGTTGGCACAAAGCATGATGAGCATAGAGGCGCTGGTCAGTTTAACACCCATGCTAATGCTCACTACTTGTGGCAGTTGCAAGGTATATTACATTATTTTTGGATTATTTAAAAATTCTTCTTATATTGTTGTAGGAATTGAAACACTAGATCAGTTTTGCTGTAAACTTTTAAAAATTGTATTATGCTGAATCTAAGAATTGGATCAAAACTTCCGTTTTTCTAAAATTCCAATTTTTTTTTATTAAATGTCCCAGTACATTATAAACTTGCTGATTGTGTTTATTTCGGATTATTTTATCATTTTTTCCCGCTAATTTTAACATAAGATTCTCACTATAGCTGATTTGTGTTTTTGCATCTCATGTAAACGACTTAGAATAATTTTAAATTATTTGAAAGTGGTCTCTGCGGTCTGAAATCAGAGTAAAAAAATCTGATTTTCGCACTCACACAGCATCTTAGCATTTTCTAATTTAGATTTTGGAATTCGATTATGATTTATGATCATTGAAATGACAATAATAATAATTGCAGGACAAAATCGTGATGAGGGAAAGCAAGAAGGACAAAGTCGCGCCAATGTGTCCCAGCAGCAGCTGGCCTATAGCTCGTCGACACTCGAATCGGTCTCTGCACAACTTGGAAGCAGGCAAAGAGATCAAGAACTGCTTGCCAGTTACCCAGAAGTACAAGCAGCCGCGAGCCGCCCGAGCCAGGTTGTGGTGTCAAGCCTTGGAAATTATGAGCAGAGAGTTGGCACAAAGCATGATGAGCATAGAGGCGCTGGTCAGTTTAACACCCATGCTAATGCTCACTACTTGTGGCAGTTGCAAGGTATATTACATTATTTTTGGATTATTTAAAAATTCTTCTTATATTGTTGTAGGAATTGAAACACTAGATCAGTTTTGCTGTAAACTTTTAAAAATTGTATTATGCTGAATCTAAGAATTGGATCAAAACTTCCGTTTTTCTAAAATTCCAATTTTTTTTTATTAAATGTCCCAGTACATTATAAACTTGCTGATTGTGTTTATTTCGGATTATTTTATCATTTTTTCCCGCTAATTTTAACATAAGATTCTCACTATAGCTGATTTGTGTTTTTGCATCTCATGTAAACGACTTAGAATAATTTTAAATTATTTGAAAGTGGTCTCTGCGGTCTGAAATCAGAGTAAAAAAATCTGATTTTTGCACTCACACAGCATCTTAGCATTTTCTAATTTAGATTTTGGAATTCGATTATGATCATTGAAATGACAATAATAATAATTGCAGGACAAAATCGTGATGAGGGAATGCAAGAAGGACAAAGTCGCGCCAATGTGTCCCAGCAGCAGCTGGCCTATAGCTCGTCGACACTCGAATCGGTCTCTGCACAACTTGGAAGGCAAAGAGATCAAGAACTGCTTGCCAGTTACCCAGAAGTACAAGCAGCCGCGAGCCGCCCGAGCCAGGTTGTGGTGTCAAGCCTTGGAAATTATGAGCAGAGAGTTGGCACAAAGCATGATGAGCACAGAGGCGCTGGTCAGTTTAACACCCATGCTAATGCTCACTACTTGTGGCAGTTGCAAGGTATATTACATTATTTTTGGATTATTTAAAAATTCTTCTTATATTGTTGTAGGAATTGAAACACTAGATCAGTTTTGCTGTAAACTTTTATAAATTTTATTATGCTGAATCTAAGAATTGGATCAAAACTTCCGTTTTTCTAAAATTCCAATTTTTTTTTTTTATTAAATGTCCCAGTACATTATAAACTTGCTGATTGTGTTTATTTCGGATTATTTTATCATTTTTTCCCGCTAATTTTAACATAAGATTCTCACTATAGCTGATTTGTGTTTTTGCATCTCATGTAAACGACTTAGAATAATTTTAAATTATTTGAAAGTGGTCTCTGCGGTCTGAAATCAGAGTAAAAAAATCTGATTTTCGCACTCACACAGCATCTTAGCATTTTCTAATTTAGATTTTGGAATTCGATTATGATCATTGAAATGACAATAATAATAATTGCAGGACAAAATCGTGATGAGGGAATGCAAGAAGGACAAAGTCGCGCCAATGTGTCCCAGCAGCAGCTGGCCTATAGCTCGTCGACACTCGAATCGGTCTCTGCACAACTTGGAAGGCAAAGAGATCAAGGACTGCTTGCCAGTTACCCTGAAGTACAAGCAGCCGCGAGCCGCCCGAGCCAGGTTGTGGTGTCAAGCCTTGGAAATTATGAGCAGAGAGTTGGCACAAAGCATGATGAGCACAGAGGCGCTGGTCAGTTTAACACCCATGCTAATGCTCACTACTTGAGGCAGCTGCAAGGTATATTACATTATTTTTGGATTATTTAAAAATTCTTCTTGTTGTAGGAATTGAAACACCAGATCAGTTTTGCTGTAAACTTTTAAAAATTGTATTATGCTGAATCTAAGAATTGGATCAAAACTTCCGTTTTTCTAAAATTCCAATTTTTTTTTTTTATTAAATGTCCCAGTACATTATAAACTTGCTGATTGTGTTTATTTCGGTTTATTTTATCATTTTTTCCCGCTAATTTTAACATAAGATTCTCACTATAGCTGATTTGTGTTTTTGCATCTCATGTAAACGACTTAGAATAATTTTAAATTATTTGAAAGTGGTCTCTGGTCTGAAATCAGAGTAAAAAATCTGATTTTCGCACTCACACAGCATCTTAGCATTTTCTAATTTAGATTTTGGAATTCGATTATGATTTATGATCATTGAAATGACAATAATAATAATTGCAGGACAAAATCGTGATGAGGGAAAGCAAGAAGGACAAAGTCGCGCCAATGTGTCCCAGCAGCAGCTGGCCTATAGCTCGTCGACACTCGAATCGGTCTCTGCACAACTTGGAAGGCAAAGAGATCAAGAACTGCTTGCCAGTTACCCAGAAGTACAAGCAGCCGCGAGCCGCCCGAGCCAGGTTGTGGTGTCAAGCCTTGGAAATTATGAGCAGAGAGTTGGCACAAAGCATGATGAGCACAGAGGCGCTGGTCAGTTTAATGCTCACTACTTGAGGCAGTTGCAAGGTATAATACATTATTTTTGTGATTATTTAAAAATTCTTCTTTTATTGTTGTAAGAATTAAAACACTAGATCAGTTTTTTGCTGTAAATTTTTAAAAATTGTATTATGCTGATCTTCAGAATTGGATCAAATCGTCTAAATATCTTATTATTTAGTTCCTTCTTGTCCCTCAATTTAGTTATTTTTTGCAAAATATATAATTGTTTATGCTTGCTATTTAATTCTAGATTTTATCACTTGTTGTATTTAAATTATTGTGTTTGTAGTTCCTCCATCAGGTCTGCAGGCTGTGAAAGAAGCTGCCTCTTCACTTCAGATGAAACCAGTGGATGGACACCTGCAGCACAGAAAGGTATGTACTTTGCTCTATTATTTAATAAATATAAAAACTTTAATTCTGAACAACACTGCATTGAAATATCTCAGAAAAGGCTAATTAATATTTTTATTTTTTTTAGTACATCAAAGTGGCGAAACTCAGTGATGCATTGAGAGACAAAATTTTGAATCAGTCGATTCCCCCGGAGGATTTTGCCGATCTGGGTGTTGCTGACTTGAACCAAATTCTTCAAGCCAATGACGAGAGGCCACCCAGGAATGCCAGTGAGCTAAACAATAATATTATTTAATATAAGAATTAAATTTTATTTTTAATATCTACAGCCAAGGCAGTCCTCCAGAAACAGGTCATCAAGCTGCTGAGGAGCTCGATCAGAGAGCCGCAGTTCAAGGACTACAGACTATGCCTTCTGTGCAATCTTGAACATGCACAGATGCGCCACCAGATTTGCTTTCATGCGTTTGCATGTAGAAGCTGTTGGGACAAAAAGCAAGGACAGCTGATCATGTGCCCGATTTGCTTTCAGAACATGAAGGTCGAGGACGTCGACGAGATCTTCTACAAGAGGGTTTTGTCCTGAAACGGCACATGGCAGTGTTTAAATAAAATTCGTTGATTTAATCAGGTGTTTGTATTATGGCTTTATTTACTCATGCAAAAGCAATTGTGAGTGTTGCCCAAGCAAGTCATTCTTCTTTTTAGCTATCCAATATGATAATGTGCTTCCTTATTTTTCTATTAATATATCCTTTGCTCCACATTGGCCATTAAATATGTCGAGCTCTTTTATCTTGTGGTGAAAAAAAAATGAATCTACAGAGGGAACACCGCAGGGTGCTGAAAAAATATAAATTAAGAATTTGGTTCATTTTTCTCAAATTCCTAAACTATTTTTGAAGTTAAAATTTCCTAATGTGTTAGATATGCAGACAATTTACCAATTTTTTCCTTATTAATTAATTGGTTATATTCTCACTAGGCCAAGCCAACCAAAATAAATAAATTGTCTTCATGCTGCGTGGTGGGCCAATGTGACTGCAGCGGATTTACCTAAGGAACTTGGCGTGGAGCCGCAGCTTGTCTCGGCAGGCTTAGCCCGACTGCTGCCCGCTGGGATGTTGAGTGGGATTTTTTCTGCAGCTTCTGCTCTGCAACTCGCCCTCTTGACCGAGCCGTCCCTGTCCCTAATGGGCAGTGAATCTTTGGCCTCGTCGACCACGTGCAAGGTCATCTTAATCTTAAGGGCCAAATCTGACAATGGCGTGAATGGCGCCTGCCCGCTCCAGCAGATTTGTTTAGCTCGTCCTGCTGTCGCATGGTAATAACTTACTTTAAAAATTTCATTGCTATTACTTTCAACAGTTTCAACCAAACATGAGCTTACATGACATATCCAACGAGATTCTAAAAGCATTTAATTTGATTAATAATTTTTATAACCAAAATATTATTTTTTGGGAGATTTCAATTGCCGTATAGATAAATATTGCGAAAAGGGAAAACATTACTTGATTTAACATAAAGATTTGGGCTTTTACTTGCTAATGATAGCCAAATTCGGACCTACGGAAATAACGCGCACGGTAGTACCATCGCTTTAAATTTTAATATTTTTTAGTAAAAATTTCCACTTCTCCAAACCATTTACAAATCAAAACACGCTAATGAAAGCCCACCACCCAGTAGAGAGCACAGCTTTCCTTGTGTGTCAACAGCCCCAACCAATAAATAATAAAAATAAAAAAGGCCCTGCATTTAAAGTTGATTTTGAAAGGAAACAATCTACGATGAAAATGATTTATAAAAATAAGGGTAAAATTGATGATTTAAACTCATATCGGGGTTTTTCACCGTGTAATAACGTAATACATTATGCAAACTATACTTGGTAAAATTCTGGCTACGAGACTTTTGGCGAAACTCGGGGATTTAATTTATTCCAAAAGAACAATATGGTTTTATGCCGGGCAAAAGTACCATTGATGCCATTAAAAATTATCAAATAAGAATTTCAGAAAAAATGGGTGAGAAAAACTATAAAAAAATATGCACTTTTTATTGACTTAAAATCAGCTTTTGATCTGGCTAAAAGAATATTGTTTATGCAAAAGATAATGAACAAAAAGAAAAACACCCTATCAAAAAAAATGAACTTTTGTTGCTATCAGAATTTTTGGAGGTAGACTATATTCAGATAGATGATGGAATTTCACTTTCAGAGTTTTTCACTCAATCAAACGGCTTTAAACAAGGTATGAGCTCTAGCCCAATTTGTTTCAATATTTACATCCATGCAACCATGACATTATTAAAATTGATTGAAATATTTGAGGGCATGGACGGAGTGGACTTTTTGCTCTTTGCAGATGATATGGTTATTATTTTTATTAGCGATTTTTGTAAAAAAAACTGGATGAAATTTTGAGAAAGTTTTTAATTAACTGCACAGAAAACAACTTAAAAATAAATCTGTCCAAAACAAAAGCTTTAAAAATTCACAAATAAAGGTCCCTTGTCGGACGTGAGACCCATCGAGACCGTGCTCGAGACTATTGGTATCGGTGGGTCTCGATCGGTCTCGGAAATTTTGTAACTTAATCATCATAGGGCTTATGTTCCACATGGTCTCGGTGGGTCTCGACCGGTCTCTGTGGGTCTCTGCCGGTCTTGGTGGGTTTCAGCCGGTCTCGGTGGGTTTCAGCCGGTCTCGGTGGGTCTCGGGTCCATATAAGTTAATTTTTTTTATAATTATGAAATTATTTCGTTTGAAATAAATTTTGGTGTTAATTTATCATCAAGTCAACTTAATACACATCTATGTTAATAAAAGTTTCAGTTTAATGTTTATTTAATGTGAACTTATTTAATTTTATTTACATTCATAAATTTTATTAAAACTTTTTTATTTTAATTTCCAATAATTTCAACTTAACGTTTGATTAAAAAATTATATAAAGTTAAATTTTTATTTAATTCATATTATCTTTACTAATGCAGATACATATAATTTAATTTTGTTAATGAAACGTTACACTTATTTAAAATTCATTTGCCCTCTTTGATTCAGTTAATAAATGAAATTGATTAACCTTGGCAACTCTTCTATTTTTTTTATTTATCTCAGTATTTATTAAAAAAAGCATAGAATAAAATTATGTCTCGCTGATTTCTTTTACTTCATTTTCAATTACTATATATTAATATTATACAAGTTTATATAAAAATCTTACATATTTAAATACCTATAGGATATATCTTTATAAGTCAATAAAGAGTAATAATAAAAAATTGATATAGTAATTGAAAATTAAGTAAAAAAAATCAGAGAGACATTTTTTATTCCATGATTTTTTAGAAAATACTGAGATAAATAATAAAAATAGAAGAGTTGCCAAAATTGTTATTGTTGTTTATTTGTCCAAATTGATACATCACATTGTTTACATACAAATTGTTGAAAACATTTGTTTGGAAAAGAAGAAAATTAATCAATTTCATTTATAAACTGAATCAAAGAGGGCAAATGAATGTTGAATAAGTGTCAACGTTTCATTAACAAAATTAAATTATATGTATCTGAATTAGTAAAGATAATATGAATTAATTAAAAATTTAACTTTATATAATTTTTTTATCAAACGTTAAGTTGAAATTATTGGAAATTAAAATAAAAAAGTTTTAATAAAATTTATGAATGTAAACAAAATTAAATATGTTCACATTAAATAAACATTAAAATGAAACTTTTATTAACATAGATGTGTATTAAGTTGACTTGATGATATGATAAATTAACACTAAAATGTATTTCAAACGAAATAATTTCATAATAATAAAAAAATTAGCTTATATGGACCCAAGACCCACCAAGACCGGCTGAAACCCACCAAGACCGGCAGAGACCCACAGAGACCGGTCGAGACCCGCCGAGACCATGTGGAACATAAGCCCTATGATGATTAAGTTACAAAATTTCCGAGACCCACCGATACCAATAGTCTCGACCGGTATCGATGGGTCACACGTCCGACAAGGGTAAAAGGCCGATAGGAAAATTACTAAAATTAGATAAAATAGCTTGCGAGGGAATAGTAATCGAATTTGTATCTAGTTTCCCAAACCTCGGTGTAACTTTTCCAAAAAGTGACACGTGTCCTTCTCCAAACATATGTCACCAAAAGATGCACAAAGTCCCTCGCAGCCATGCACTTTCAGAGGCGAGGACTCTCAGAATCAATAGCAGTATTACACGAACTGGTAGCTGGTAGCATGTTGCAGCAGTGCATGCTTTTTAAGTTTTTTCAAATTTTTCGACTAAAGTAAATTGGCCAGGAATCTCAGGATCAATATATAGGTTAAACGAAGTGGTAGAGCATGTTGTAGCAGTGCCATACTTTGTGAAACAATGCTATAGCAAAGTGTATCACAAAGTGGTAGCATGCTTTTTAAGTATTTGCAAAATTTTCATCTAAATTTAATTGGCCAGGACTCTCAGGATCAGTACCAGTGTTACACGAAATGGTAGCATTTTGTAGCAGTGCCATACTTTGTGAAACAATGCTATAGCAATGTATCACAAAGTGGTAGCATGCTTTTTATGTATTTGCAAAATTTTCGACTAAAGTTTAATGGCCAGGACTCTCAGGATCAGTAGCAGTGCCAGGACTCTCAGGATCAATAGCAGGGTTACACGAAGTGGTAGCATGTTGTAGCAGTGTCATTTTTGGTTATTCAATGCTATAGCAATGTATCACAAAGTGGTAGCATGCTTTTCAAGTATTTGCAAAATCTTCGTCTAAATTTAATTGGCCAGGACTCTCAGGATCAATAGCAGGGTTACACGAAGTGGTAGCATGTTGTAGCAGTGTCATTTTTGGTTATTCAATGCTATAGCAATGTATCACAAGGTGGTAGCATGCTTTTAAAGTATTTGCAAAATCTTCGTCTAAATATAATTGGCCAGGACTCTCAGGATCAATAGCAGGGTTACACGAAGTGGTAGCATGTTGTAGCAGTGTTATTTTGGTTATACAATGCTATAGCAATGTATCACAAAGTGGAAGTATGCTTTTCAAGTATTTGCAAAATCTTCGACTAAATTTAATTGGCCAGGACTCTCAGGATATATAGCAGGGTTACACGAAGTGGTAGCATGTTGTAGCAGTGTCATTTTTTGATACACAATGCTATAGCAATGTATCACAAAGTGGTAGCATGCTTTTCAAGTATTTGCAAAATCTTCGTCTAAATATTTAATTGGCCAGGACTCTCAGGATATATAGCAGGGTTACACGAAGTGGTAGCATGTTGTAGCAGTGTCATTTTTTGATACAGCATGCTATAGCAATGTATCACAAAGTGGTAGCATGCTTTTCAAGTATTTGCAAAATCTTCGTCTTAATTTAATTGGCCAGGACTCTCAGTATCAATAGCAGGGTTTAACGAAGTGGTAGCATGTTGTAGCAGTGTCATTTTTGGTTATACATTGCTATAGCAATGTATCACAAAGTGGTAGCATGCTTTTCTAGTATTTGCAAAATCTTCGACTAAATATAATTGGCCAGGACTCTCAGGATCAATAGCAGGGTTTCACGAAGTGGTAGCATGTTGT